TTAAGCTTTTTCATAGCGGTTAGCTCACATATTCCAAGAAAATTATAAAAATGAAATTTTAGTTTTAATGTATAGCTGCTTCATACACCGACATAGTATGAATATTAAATAGTTTTTAGACCTTAAATGTTTCTGTTTCTATAGAAAATATGATTTCTATTGGGGTTAATCCACATATTAAGTGGTATATGAATGTTAAATAAATTAATCATTTGAAAATTTGAAATGATTCACATGAACCATAAAGATAAGTTTAGAAAACATAAATTAAAATTTGGAGTGCGTTTAGGTATTTTTTAAACAACACGAAATATGGTAAATAGTATATATAGTATTTAACGGAAAATTCAGTTTTTCATAGGGGTTAGCCCACATATTTCAAGAAAAATTAGAAAAAAATGGATTTTTTATTTTAATGTATAGCTGCATCATACACCAACGTAGTATGTATATTAAATAGGTTTGAGACCTTAAATGTTTCTGTTTCTCCAGAAAATAGGTTTTTTATTGGGGTTAATCCACATATTGAGTGGTATATGAATGCTAAATAAATTAATCATTGGAAAATTGAAATGATTCACATGTACCATAAAGATAAGTTTAGCAAACATATATAAATTTGGGGTGCGTTTAGGTATTTTTTAAACAACACGAAAGATGGTAAATAGTATATATTGTATTTATCGAAAAACTCAGTTTCTTCGTAGGGGGTTAGCCCACATATTTCAAGAAAAATTAGAAAAAATGGATTTTTTGTTTTAATGCATAGCTGCATCATATACCGACATAGTATGAATATTAAATAGGTTTGAGACCTTAAATGTTTTGTTTCTCCAGAAATAGGATTTTTATTGGGGTTAATCGACTTATTAAATGGTATATGAATGTTAAATAAATTAATCTTTGGAAAATATGAAATGATTCACATGTACCATAAAGATAAGTTTAGCAACATATATAAAATTTGGCGTGCGTTTAGGTATTTTTTAAACAACACGAAAGATGGTAAATAGTATATATAGTATTTATCGAAAATTCAGTTTTTTCGTAAGGGTTAGCCCACATATTTCAAAATAAATTATAAAAATGGAATTTTTCTTTTAATGCATAGCTGCATCATACACCGACATAGTATAAATATTAAATAGGTTTGCGACATTAAATGTTTCCGTTTCTCTAGAAAAATAGGATTTTTATTGGGGTTAATCCACATATTTAGTGGTATATGAATGTTAAATAAATTAATCATTGGAAAATTTGAAATGATTCACATTTACCATAAAGATAGGTTTATCAAACATAAATAAAAATTTGGAGTTCTTTTCGGTATTTTTAAACAACACGAAATATGGTAAATAGTATATATAGTATTTATTGAAAAATTCAGTTTCTTCGTAGGGGTTAGCCCACATATTTCAAGAAAAATTACAAAAATGGATTTTTTGTTTTAATGCATAGCTGCATCATATACCGACATAGTTTGAATATTAAATAGGTTTGAGACCTTAAATGTTTATGTTTCTCCAGAAAATAGGATTTTTATTGGGGTTAATCCACATATTAAGTGGTATATGAATGTTAAATAAATTAATCATTGGAAAATTTGAAATGATTCACATGTACCATAAAGATAAGTTTAGCAACATATATAAAATTTGGCGTGAGTTTAGGTATTTTTTAAACAACACGAATTATGGTAAATAGTATATATAATATTTATCAAAAAATTCAGTTTTTCGTAGGGTTAGCCCACATATTTCAATATAACTTATAAAAATGGAATTTTTCTTTTAATGCATAGCTGCATCATACGCCGACATAGTATGAATATTAAATAGGTTTTAGACATTAAATGTTTCCGTTTCTCCAGAAAATAGGGTTTTTATTGGGGTTAATCCACATATTAAGTGGTATATGAATGTTAAATAAATTAATCATTGGAAAATTTGAAATGATTCACATGTACCATAAAGATAGGTTTAGCAAACATAAATAAAAATTTGGAGTGCGTTTAGGTATTTTTAAATAACACGAAATATGGTAAATAGTATATATAGTATTTAATAGAAATTCAGTTTTTTCATAGGGGTTAGCTCACATATTTTAAGAAAAATTATAAAAAATGGATTCTTTGTTTTAATGCATAGCTACATTGTATACCGATATAGTAGGAATCTTAAATAGGTTTGAGACCTTAAATGTTTCCGTTTCTCCAGAAAATAGGATTTTTATTGGGGTTAATCCACATATTAAGTGGTTTATGAATGTTAAATAAATTAATCATTGGGAAATTTGAAATGATTCACATGTACCATAAAGATAAGTTTAGCAACATATATAAAATTTGGCGTGAGTTTAGGTATTTTTTAAACAACACGAATTATGGTAAATAGTATTTATAGTATTTATCAAAAAAATCAGTTTTTTATAGGGATTATCCCACATATTTCAAGAAAAATTATAAAAAAATGGATTCTTTGTTTTAATGCATAGCTACATCATATATCGACATAGTAGGAATCTTAAATAGGTTTGAGACCTTAAATGTTTCCATTTCTCCAGAAAAATGATTTTTATTGGGGTTAATCCACATAATAAGTGGTATATGAATGTTAAATAAATTAATCATTGGAAAATTTGTAATGATTCACATGTACCATAAATATAAGTTTAGCAAACATAAAGAAAAATTTGGAGTGCGTTTAGGTATTTTTAAACAACAAGAAATATGGTAAATAAAAATATGGATCATGAGTGATGGGACAATGGAGGGTTTTAATTTGATTATTTCTGTAACTGGTATCCTTCGTGATGAGATGCAAAAGTATGGAAAATCGACTGAGAATATGATAAAAGGAAGCGTAATCTCTATGAGTTCTGGAGAGGAAACTTGTGTAACCCTACATGTATCTTTAAGACGGCGTTTGATGACGACAGTTTGCGTGGAAGCTAATAACTTTAGGCCCAGATTCTTGTAGAAGGCCCAATTGATTAAAGAAGAAGCTCAGCTAAACGCAGAGTTTTAAGAGAGTGTGCTACGTGTCAAAGAGCAGGAGAGTGAATTAGTGATGTGGCAACACATGAGGGATGGAAAGGCTACTTTATATAATTAGATTAGATAACAATATAATGCGTTCTTTCCAGAGATGATCGTATTTGTCTATATGGCGTATATAAAAAATAGTTGAGTGGTATAATGGTCAAAATCTTTTATTGTCACAAAGATTTAAGGAATGGGTTGGAGGAACCATCTTCACTTAGTGAGAAAGAAATGTAGTGTTATAGTACTAAAGAAAGATGCCAAAACAAAAATTACGAGCACAAAGACCTTCTAATTATGTCAAATGAGTCGATCAATGAAAAAAATACAATAGAATTTATGAAACTGTTAGCGAAATGATTGGGGAACATGGTGGAATCATAACCAACCCACAGACAATCCCAAACTCTCCCAACCGCCCAACCAAACTTTCCCGTTGTGTGATTTATATAACTTACGCACATGCCTTAATGGACCTACTTTCCTCAAGTGCTTCCCTACAGTGACCACCACCTACCTAATAGGCTAATACTCATCATCCACCATTGATTTTCTCTGTCACCATTCCGACCCTTCGCGTTTAAGCTCTTTTACGGATCCATCCATCCGTATCTTTTTCTTTTTGAATTACCAGGGTTCGGGCCTAACTCCTAATTAAACCACATCATGTAATATTATTTCGTCTGAGTGATTGACCAGTAACATAATGGTCAGGATCCTTTTCAGTTGAGCTGACGTCTCTGGTCATCCGTACTTTTTCTTTCTCTTTCGGCTTAATTAAGATATTTGAAGTTTTCTTCTAGCAAACGATTGGAGTTGGAGAAAACAACAAGCCGGCCATTGTATAAGTACGTCAGCCATTGACATTAGGACATGGAAGTGGGATCCACTTCAGCCATGTGGAATTCATGTCATGTCAATGAAACTAAAACCGATCTTAAAGTTTTAAATTTTGGGGACTATGATAATTTATTAACAATTTTTTTAAACAAATTAGGAACTTATGCGTACATTTATTAATTTTTAAAATCTTAAGAATCTAAAGCTTATGTTTTATTTAGTTGTGTCGAAGAGCAGTTCTGCATGAGACTAACACTTCCATGCACAATCACCATTGCTAAGAACTGTTTTATGCAACGGCACGGCTCGGTCGTTTATCTCGCCGTTGAAGAACTAGTAGATTGCTATATTCGTGTTAATTTTCACGTAGTTTTTTCATTTCATTGTCCAGTTACTCAGCGTAATCTGTGAGGTTGATATTATAAATTTTTGAAGATAAAATATGGCACAAGGTTTTAAATAATGACCCCAAAATGAATGAATAATAATTTTCTCTTCATTTTTAAGAGTTATATAATTTACAAATAATATATTTTGCAATATGATTATTTTTCATTCTATAATTTTATAAGAAATGATAGAACAAAAACATTTCTTATCAAATTCAAAAACAGCTTCACAAAAAAAAAATCAAATTCAAATAACAAATTAACATATACTTTCTATATGTTATTTTGTTCTTTTTTATTATATATATATTATTTTTTCTTTTAATTTTATTTTTATTCATATTTTTTTTAACAATCACCAGTTAAAACTATATAATTTCAGTATTTTAATACAAAAAGAGCTAAGAGCATGCATTTCATATTATTTTTTAAAAATATGACTCACAAAAGCAAATAACCATCTAAAATATATTATATGGATTTATTAAATATTAAAAAAAAATCAAAATATTTTCAAATGAAACATTTTAAAATACTCATTCAATAATATCTGTATTTTTAATTAAATGAAGAGTTAATATCCGAACTATCTAATCAGTAATCACACTCTTAAACAACATATTGTATATATAACTAAACAACCAAAAATTACATAATCAAAGGAACAAAGACAAGTTTATATGCCCAATCAAGATATAAATTAAACACATTAATGAAAAATTCTTAGAAAATCAAGATCTTATCAAACATACAACGATAAGTAAACGGACGCCAAATTATAACCATGCCATCTAAATTTGCACTCTCAGGCTATTCCATAAACTAAAATATTAAACAAGATGCTTTATGTATCTTTTATATTTTAGGAACATTTTTACAAGCAATCACATATAATATAATAAAACCCATAAAAGAACACTTCAAAACTTTACCTTATGTGTATAATAATATATTTGCGGAACAAAAAGAAGCTGTCAGAATTGAGGATGGTAAATATCATTACGATCTTGGTGACTCCAGTATTCATGATCAACCGTACTGGTTAGTTCAAAGAGTGTTTGATCACATCCACCACTTCCCCAATCCAACGGTTCATATCCCATAGTGGGATCAACCTGAACCATTCGATCCTCAAACTGCTGATGATCAGCTATACACTCTTGATTTAAGGAACTACCTCCAAGTCCAAACGGTGTCGTTTCTATCGACACAGCCGTAAAACCGCCCATTTCCGAGAAAACTCCACCGTCCAAAGAACTTTGTCCGAGCAACGTCGACCATTCAGTGGCGGTGGTGGCGGTGGTGGTGGCGGTGGAGGTAAAGGCGGTGAGAGAAGAACTCTCCCTGCTGCTTGGTTTCTCCTCTCCGTCTTGTGACGACGACGGAAGTTGCTTAGACTTGGAACGTTTGGCTTTACGGCAACCACCTCCGACGGGAACGTTACGGAGGACGCCGCCTTTGGTCCAGTAACGACGGCAGTTTTTGCAAAAGTGTCGAGGCTGAGAGTGGTTGTAGTTGTTGTAGTAACAGAACTTTGTGTTGAGAGAGTTGCAACGAGGACACTTGAGAGATATTTGGTGATGATTGTTAAGGATATGATGATGGCCTCTCATCCGCCGATCTCCACCGAAAAACCTCCCTGAACTTCCTCCTCCGCCGCCGCGGGCTCCGGTCATCGAGTAATCATGAATACCTTGCATTTTCCAAGAGTGGATGAGGAAACTTCTAGAGAGATAAAGGAAGTAGTAAGCATGGGAAAGGCTTTTGAAATTCTGACAAGCAAATCTTTCATATGTCTGAACAGGTGGTTTTTAAGCAAAAATGTCGATTATACCCATGTGATATTTTGTGTTTTACAGTATGTAGATCATTAATACATTTCTATATTTTCCCATTTATTGGAAAAAAAAATTTTAGAAAAATTTATTATACTGGGGGTAATTGGTTGGAAATGCTCTAGCCTGGATGTATTCAAAATTGAGTCAAATAATTGGGCCCGTTAAATTAAATGGATATTATTAATCTTTCGCATCAAAACGATTTGTTTTCTTAAATTTTCGAGTTTAGTTTTTTATTTAAACAAAAGAGTAGGAATCAAAACTAAAGTCCAATGATTGATACAATAGTGCTTGTACATCTCTTATATTTCACATCAAATACCAAGTTGTTATTAAAAAATATTAATGCATATTTTGAACTACATCTATCTTATTAAAATAGAAGTACTTTAACCTTTTGTTTGGAAACATGGATAGCAGTATTTAAAATAAGTAAGTTTGGAAACATAGATATCAATATTTAATAAGATCTGGTATTTATTGTTACAAAGATTTGCTATCTATCTTATTAAAGTAGAAGTACTTTAACCTTTTGTTTGGAAACATGGATAGCAGTATTTAAAATAAGTAAGTTTGGANAAAAACTAAGAACGTAAAGAACCTAATAAAAGCTGAACCGAAAATCACAACCCAGTCCTATTATATTCAATATGATAGTTCACATACAACGTGGATCACAATATCTTAAACACAGTAATAATCGATGAGTTCTGAATTTATTACATTTTCTCAAATTAAGTTAAACCCGCGCCGGTGCGCGGGTCAAGATCTAGTATAGCATTGAAGCTATAGCTGGTTGATTTATCTAGAGTGATGATTTATCAGCTAAAATTTTACCACTATTTTTTTTCTTAAGAAAATGCGCACTAGCTTTTATTATTGATTTCAAGAGAGTACTAGTGTACCAGTACTACTAATCCTTCTACCAAGGCTGAGACATAGTACACGTACCATGTAGATCGAACTGAACTACGTTGCTTGAACATGCATGCTAGAATCATTTGTGATGTATACACAATCTAACACGAGTTGTATAATGTGATTAAGAAGTATGGAATTTACTTTGCGTGTGGAAGTGAAACATGACATAAATAGGTGTTTTCGCGAGAAGCTCTTTGGGAATTTGAAGTTTTGGTATAGGTTTTGATGAAACACTTGCATTGTTTTCAACGACTCTTGTATTCGGATTTTAGTGGAGGCAGTGTAAAATAAAGCCGACAAGTTGCTTATTGTAACATCTAATTTATAGCGTCTAACTTTGTTGTTGTGTCTAAGGTTTGACTTCTGAAACATAACTAAAACGTTTGTATCGCTTTCTGATGTGCAAATAATTCAATGTTGGATAGTTATTTTAACAATTAACATATATTAGTATAAAGTGTTTCAAAAAAAAGAACATATTAGTATAAACATGTCGAGCAGCTAATCACTGCTTTTCGCTCAGAAAATTAATATGTCGAATCTTTTTCTTTCCACGATAGAAATCAAATCATCCACAGAGTTTGTAGTTGATTTTGATTGATTTTGTTCTTTAGTTACTACTACGGTTTTGAACCAACCAAACAAAAACTTTAGTACAGCAGTAACCTTTTTAATTCACAAAACTGATTAAAATTTTAAAATTAATAATATCGAACACAATTCATCACTATTTTGAGTATTTTTTTTTTCTTTCTATTTTGAGTATTTTGTATCAAACACTTTTACTATCCCTCAGTATCATCTATATATAATTGTTCTTCACTCTTTTGCCGTGTAAGTTTTTTTGTATATTACTTTTTTTTGTTAAAGCTCTAGTTTTAATCAACACGTTATTTTCTTTATCAACCAATTAACACGTTATTTAATTTGGATTTATTTTTTGTTGGTTGCATAACAAACTTACCCTAATAATAGTGAGGCAAGTTTTTGTTGTATTGGGAATAATCTAGGCGGTTGATAAGGATTAGATCACATGTGGAGGGCTGAGAAAGAAGAGTTGATGCCCACATATATTGGATTGTCTACTTGTCGGTCACTCCAATTTATCTGCTGATTCAAGAGCTATGTGCTCTGTTCCAGTGGTTCCTATTCTGCTACGTCATTGTACTCTTCTACAACTAATAAACTATTTGGGTATGCAAATGTAGTTATGTGTACAAAATCTAGTACTTGTATCGCAACTATTTTTGTATATTCTAACTTTTTCATCTGTACAGAGTTCAAAGTTGTATGTATATATTTCTCTAGGCTTTAATAACATTGCGATTACATTTTCTTAATTTTCAAAAGTTCTAGATCTTCTGTTCATAGTATAATATTATAGATTTTAATGTCTTAATTCTTTTTTTTTTACATCGAAAGGCTGATCAATTAATTTTAATGTTTTAATATCAATTCCACGAAATGTAAATATATAATTTAACTTGTGATTTTTGCATGCAACTGTGTTATTTGGATCCGGCAGCGAGGATGGTTTAACAGAAAATTAAATCCGCAGATACCAAATTACACGGTGGCGATTTAACGTAAATCATATTTAAATATCTCTATTATTAAAAGAGAAGTACCCACTAAAAAATACCCCTAAGTTTTCCAACTTATTTACACTCATATGCCACTGAGAATTTAATTAAACTTCCTATTTAAATGTTTGTCTTTTTTCAGTTATATTAATTAAACATCCTATTTAAATGCTTGTCTTTTTCAGTTATATTAATGAGTTATTTAATCAACCAAAAAATACCTGCATCACTAACATGTCTTTTTCACGTATATTAATTATAACTCATTTACTGCATCACTAACATCACTGATATATTACATGCATCTAAAATGTGTATCAATAAAACATGCATCACTAATATAATATAGAGAAATATAATATTAACTAACACACAATATAACATGTGCATGTACTAACTATATTGGTTTATATAATGTATTCTACGGTATAATAACGTCACTGTTAAAAAGTAATATAGAGATAACTCTAATTTCAATATCAAATCAGATTACCAATCATATACACATATTCAAACAGCTAATGCCCACAAGATTCAAACAGCTAATCCGATTACCACCTATCCATTTTCTAATTCTTTTTTTAAAAAACAATTGAATAAATAGAAAATCAAAACATAAAATCTTATCTCTATTATAACAGAAAGTTTTGCAAGATCTAATCCGATTACCATCTATCGATTTTCTAAAAAAAAAACAAAAAAAAAACAATTCAATAAATACAAAATCAAAACAAAAAATCTTATCTCTATTATAACAGAAAGTTTTGCAAGATCGTATCCTTAAATCAATATCATATCCAAGATTTTCGCATCATAAGCATATATTTAATTTCAACCTGATTGGTCTATAATTTCGGTAACTAATTTTCTTGCGGAAGAGGAAACAATAAATTCAAAATCTAATGGAATATATATAGATTGAACCAAATTCCTATATTCGGGTATANTAATTAACTATATATGTTTAATTTTTTTATATGATATCGAAGATTGATCATACAATAGATGGTTTAACATGCCAAAAATATTATATGCTAAGTGAATATAATATGATCAAGTATTACAAGTACATCATTTAATAAAATAAATAATCAACAACCGGAAAATCATACCCGCGCTGGCGCGCGGGTCAAGGTCTAGTCTATACTATTAAAAGGGAAGTACAAATAGAAAATATCCCTTAGTTTTCCACAAAAATTACAAACTTATGCCATTGGAGTTAAAACATTTAATTTCAGATGGGTTTAATGAAGATTTAAAATCCACTAATTTTAAATCAAAACCAAATTGCCTAAAATCAAATTACCTACCTCAATTTAACAAATAGGCTTTTGTTAATAAATTACTAGAGATTTTATTATTTTGTAAATGTCTATTTTTTTTTATTTTTACTGTCTAAATAATTTATTTTTTAAAAATATCTATAAAATCTAATTTAAAATAATAATATCAATTACAAAATTTATAATATAGTTTAATAAAACACACAATTTAAACAAGATACTATAATATTTTACAATTAATTGTTTAGTTTACCAAATAAAAAATACAATCTGATAGTTAAAAAAAAAATAAAACAAAATGAACAAGATACACCCATATTAAAATTCAATAACGTATGAAATATAAAATATGAATTTTTTTACAACTAACACAAACATATAGTTATATAGAACATACATCCGCGCGGACGCGCGGGTCAAAAACTAGTCTTAATTATAACATTACACTGCATATAATGGTTGCATAAGAGAACATTAATGAAGATTGAAGAGATGATAATTTGGTCAACCAATAAATCATAGGCTTTCAGAAGCATACTAGTACAAATATTATATGCATAAAACTACAAAAATAAGTCCTACTTTAATTTTATGATCAAACATTTGTATATTATAAACGCAAACACTATACAATGCAGAGTTCATATGTTATATACAACTAAAATCTTTTGTTTTACAAAATAACAACAAATATCTAACATCAAAACCTGCAACAATCTCCAGTTTGTTCAAGTCACATTTTCATAATTTCTTCAACTAACTGTTGAAGTTAACATATTTGTTGCAGATTTACTTGAGGAAAATGTGAACTGAAATTCATAATATCATCGTTCAGATTACGACTGAATTTGAACTTACACCTTGAGTTGAAATATCCCATGGCTCACTTCATACTGTGAACATTTGGATGACGTATTCATATTTTTTTTTAAATATGAAATTGATCGACCCTTGCTTTAGTGGAAAGAGCAAAAAGGACAAGTAATGTGGGTAAGCGAATGTCGGGTGTAAAATGCAAACTGCAAACACGACTATAATGAGATATAGTAATATAGTGATCATCGCTCATATATGTCACCTACGCTATGAGTTTTCTTATTATTGGCGTTAAAAATATATATCAATGAACTATCTATTTGTGTTAAGCACTGAAAGCTATAATTTTTGTGTGGCAAAGCTACATAGGATATATTAACATTAGGTGAAAATGAAAATAATCACTAAACGACGTCAGTGAGTTGAATGAGTAGGTCACCATCGAGATCTCAATCCTCAATGTCCAGCCGTCGGTGGTCGGTTGAGATCGAAAGTCTTGCAAAGGCCCCAGCTCGTTATACTATCATCACATGATCTGACACGTGATTCTTGGGCCCATAAGGCCCATCTCACAGCTCTCATCTCTCATACTTCTACATTAACACACATACTGACATACATACGAATACATACAGCAGAGTGTAGATTTGTGTGCGTGTGTGTATGTATGTATTGGCTGGATAATAGACTGTGATATGTGTGTTTGGAATTTTGGATAGGTTTAGAAAATAGCTTTAAATATGAAAATTATTGCTAAAGAGAGTGGTTTGCCCAAAAAAAAGGAGTTGTAAATTGTACTGCATACTATATAACTAATCATCACGTAAGGCCTAACTTAAACTGCCAGTTTAGGAGGGTGATTACACTACTAGAGTAGTCAAGTGTAGCAGTGTATGTAGGACTCAAATCAATGTAGGTTAGTTCATTTGCTTACTTCTTCTGATTGAATTTTATGAACCTTTTTTATCTATTGGATGCTATTTTTTTTTGTTTCGTTTTCCTCGGTTTTTATGTAGAGAGAACAACAATAGATTGTGAAACCATTACGTTATGCTATCAAAGATATAATTTTTTTTGGTTTTATCATAAGATTCATTTAGAATATGTTGCAATTATAGATAATACTTTTGTCTTTGGGTTTTGGCTAAAACATTCAGGTGGTTTGCACGCGTTTCAATGCAGACTCGGATATTTCTATACAATGTCTTGATCAAGAAGAAGAAGATGAAAGCAATTTCAGAACAAGACTAGGTTATGCTCAAATGAGCTTTATTGTGATAGAAAGTAAAGACAGCAATTTGAGCTTTATTTATAAGCAAAAAGAAACTTAAATTGTCACCAAGAACTCAAAATTCAACGATTGATATTGTATAAAATGAAGGAGATTGTTTTATGGCAATCCTCAAAGATACATCTACCAATCATATTTACACTAATCTTCTTGAATCAAACCCTATTATCCATTGGCTTCAAACATCACATTGATTTGTTATCTATTATATACATGTAAGTAATTTCTAATGTAGTATTAACATTACATGTATGGGTCAATCATAGAGATATATAGTACTACTTAGCAGTTAGCACACCAACAACTATAAGAATAGAAAACATGTAACTTTTTTTTCTTTACCTACCAAAGAAAGTGTTGGTCCGGTAAGATGTCTCTCCTCTCAGATGATTCACGTTGTGGTCATTATTGGGTATGGACATTTCTGCCATGAGCAAGTGAAAAGAGTTGATTTTCTCCTTCAGCTCTGAGTTCTCTTGTAGGATCTGGTGGTTACTTTCCAACAAATTAATGACTTTCTCAGATAAGTGATGATGCAAAAACATGAGCTGCTCAGCTTGTTGATGCAGCTCTTCTATCTGCTTCTTCTTTCGCATACGCGACCTTCTTGCAGATTCTCTGTTAGACATCATTCGTCTTTCTTTTCTTTCGTCTGGATCAAGACCCTCTCTGTGGGAAAAGGGTTCTCCATTTGGGTCTAAGTGAGAGCGGTTGTTGTTGCTGCGGGTCGACAAGTTTGGTGATATGGACTGAAAGTGGACGTGTAAGTTAGGGTTTTGCAGAAATGATGAGTTGAAATGATTGTCCTGTGGTGGCATTCCTTCAAGAATATCAAAACAATGATGAGAGCGATGGGGACCAGACTCCATGTTAGGTTTTAGATGTCTAATCTTCAAAGTGGATTCTAGAGAGAGAGAGATTAGTGTAAGCTTAAACTCAATTACGGTGCTAGAAGCTATTTAATGGCACATATTTACTTACATGAAGACAAAACTGTATTTACATCTTTGGTGGGTTTTTTCTTCAGCATTTGAAACTCTCCTCTAACTAATTTCTCTCTAGTGATACTTTTTGACAAAATTTCAACATCTTTGTCAAGGTTTAATACAATGTTCTGTGTTATTAGTATTTTTAAATTAGGGTTGGTGGATGCTAACTTGCACGTATTTAGCTATCCACATTCACAATTTTACTTTTGAAATCTACTCTTCGATTTAGAAAATGCGAAACGATTCATGATGATATACCATTAGCGTGAATTAATCAAAATGGCCAGCCTACTCGAACAATGGTAATACAAATGTAAAATTGTGAATCATATAACAAGAAAAGAATGACCAAAGTAAACACAAACTACCATAAAGTCAAAGGCGTTAATTAATGCATTTGTTTTCATCCCGATTTTAAGGGATAATCTTGAATTTCGAGGCTAAATAAAGCAGAAACCAAACACATTAAAAAGAGATTGTGATGGTTAACGGCTTCGAAAGTGTATGTCAAAATGTAATTAGCGTAACGGAGAGGCAATGTCTTGTTTCCAGAAATGGACTATGGGCTCTTTTCTGCAAGTTACGTCTGAACCAACCTGAACCCATTGAAGCTCTACCCAGCTCAAGTCACAGTCAAGATCATTACTAGATGTACAAATGCAGATCACATAATATATATATATATATATATATATATATATATATACTAGGTGTTCTCCTGCACCATGTGCACTAAAAAGATTTAAAATATTTTTTTAACAGATACAATATAAATTACGTTTGAAATTAAAATTTTATTAATATTATAAATTTTCTTTTCCTTATCACTATTTTAATACAAATTTTTTTTTAATTAAACAAAAAAATATTTTTTGTTTATTTTAAATTATATTTATGAATATGCATGTATATATTTAAAATTATAATCTTAGATAGATTTTTTATCTATTTATTTTAATTAAATATATTAAATAAATTTGTAGAAAAATTTATAATTATCAAAAATTAAAATTAGACAATATTTATTAAATTTTTAAATATATAAGAAATTAATAATTTTACAATTAAATTTTAATAATTTTCAAAAAAGGTATACATTTTTGAAAAGTTTGTAATAAAATTGTATAACTTTAAAATATATAATTAAATGATATTTTCGAAATTTATAATGCCATATTTGAATATATTCATTTTAATGATGATTTATGAGTTATTACCATATTTTGAAAATATTTCCAAAAATATAAATCGACATCAAATCTAATATATGAGTTGTTACCATATTTTATAAAGCTTTCCAAATTATGTTTAAAATTAAAATTTATTAATATTATAAATTTTCTTTTTCTTATCACTATTTTAATACAATTTTTTTGATTAAACATAAAAATAATAGAAAATTATTTTTGGTTTATTTTAAATTATATTTAAGAATATGCATGTATATATTTAAAATTGTAATCTTAGATAGATTTTTTATCTATTTATTTTAATTAAATATATTAAATAAATTTGTAGAAAAATTTATAATTATCAAAAATTAAAACTAGACAATATTTATTATATTTGTAAATATAGAAGAAATTAATAATTTTACGATTAAATTTTAATAATTTTCAAAAAAGGTATACATTTTTTGAAAAGTTTGTAATAAATTGTATAATTTTAAAATATATAATTAAATGATATTTTCGAAATTTATAATGCCATATTTGAATATATTTATTTTAATGATGATTTATGAATTATTACCATATTTTAAAAATATTTCCAAAAATATATATCGATATCAAATCTAATATATGAGTTGTTACCATATTTTATAAAGTTTTTCAAAAATATATATTAACATTAAATGCAATTGTCCATGTCATATTTAATCATATGCCATGTCATCAATTCTAGTAGACATGTCATCATTTTTTTGTGAAACTGATTGTAGAGAAGACATGTGGCAAAATCACTTCGGATATAATATATAGGGGAAAATTAAAATTAGACAATATTTATTAAATTTGTAAATATATAAGAAATTAATAATTTTACGATTAAATTTTAATAATTTTCCAAAAAGGTATACATTTTTGAAAAGTTTGTAATAAATTGTATAATTTTAAAATATATAATTAAATGATATTTTCGAAATTTATAATGCCATATTTGAATATATTTATTTTAATGATGATTTATGAATTATTACCATATTTTAAAAATATTTTCAAAAATATAAATCGATATCAAATTTAATATATGAGTTGTTACCATATTTTATAAAGTTTTCTAAAAATATATATTAACATTAAATGCAATTGTCCATGTCATATTTAATCATATGTCATGTCATCAATTCTAGTAGACATGTCATCATTCTTTTTGTGAAACTGATTGTAGAGAAGACATGTGGCAAAATCACTTCGCAAATAATATATAGGGGATATATATATATATATATATATATATATATATTATATTATAAGTTGTTAACATTGAGCTTGTTTCTATACCTTACAATGAAAAATTCAAATCCAACACTTGTATACACAATTATATGTCATCGATGATAGTGTCTGTACTTGAAACTCAATACAGCACTAGTATACACATATAAATGTCATCATTTTTTGTTAGTTTTTAGTAATCAAATGATTTGAAATTGCAAGTACATATGTTAATTAATCTGACATACACAGATTAAAAATGCTGTGACGTGAAGAATATTACAAATGCTCTCTTTTTTTCTTTAAAGTTTACCAAACGTGCTGGTTATGGTGATTTTATGTCCTATAGCTTAGTCATTTTTCAAGTGTTGTCTCCATTACATCATCCAATTCAAGTTTTTTCATTGTAGTGCATATACACAAAGGTGGAAGTTTGATAAATAAAATTTCTTTTAAATTAATAAAACTATAAAGTAATAAATATTATAATTTTAATGTAATCTGAGGAGGAGGTTCGGGTCGGTGCTGGCTATGATGCCCATTTTCGTTTACATGCAGTTCCATTAGTCTAGACTTTGGATAAGAATATATGTACTTTTATGTATATTATTGAAGGTTTATCAAAAACAAGTCTAATAAATAAAAGGCTAAAACAAAAGTATCATATGCTCATCATTTGCTATACAACCTGACTATCAAAACAGTGTAGATATTGCTATATTATTGATAGTGCTTTTTCTCTGCTTATCTTTTCCTCTGCTTTTTCTTTCAATTTAGAGAAAATGGCCTACAAGTGAACGCAACCAGATATTAATCCCATAATCTCTAAAACTAACAAGATATGGGCCTGGTTTGGGCTTAACTTTTTCGGCCCATTTAGATTTTTGATTTTATTTATAAAAATTAATTCCAGCTTCTTTTTAACTCACTAATAACTATCTCCACGCGCCATCGAGTGAGTCTCACGCGCATCTCCCTTTGCCCTAATCGCCCTCCGATAAAGATCTCTCGCCGCGACTCGTCTGTTTAACGATTCGTTCCGTGTTGACTCAGTTACGGTGAGTCCGATGATCCCATCTCTGTTTCCTCATAAGCTAAATCGTAAGATTCTAAGCTCGATTGATTTTGCAGATCTTAAACGATGGATCCGATGGATATAGTCGGCAAATCCAAAGAAGACGCTTCTCTTCCTAAAGGTTAGCTTTTTTTGAATCCAGTTTTATTAGGTTTACATTGAAAACTGCTTTGAGGTTTATATGTTTTTGATGTGTTGTTGTTTTTGGGTTGCAGCTACGATGACAAAGATAATAAAGGAGATGTTACCACCAGATGTTCGTGTTGCTAGAGATGCTCAAGATCTTCTTATTGAGTGTTGTGTAGGTAAAGGCAACAAAGATCATTAGCTTCCTTTAGGTTTCTAAGTCAGTCATTTTAGAGTTCTTTGTTTCTTTTCAGTGTTCTAAAAATCGGTCTAGGCGAGCAAATTGGACTTAAAATAAACGATTTTTCAAAAAATTAGTCTAGACGGCAAATAGGTTTCTAAGTTATCTTAGAGTTCTTGGTTTCTTTTCAGTGTTCTAAAAATCGGTCTAGGCAGCAGATGGACTTAAAATAAACGATTTTTTCTAAAATCGGTCTAAGTCGGCAAATCGGTTTCTAAGTCATCTTAGAGTTCTTGGTCTATGTATTCTAAATATCGGTCTAGGCGGCAAATCAGACTTAGAAATAAACGATTTTTTGAAAAATCGGTCTAAACAGCAAATCGGCTTCTAAGTCATCTTAGAGTTCTTGGATTCTTTCAGTATTCTAAAAATCGGTTTAGGCGGCAAATCGAACTTAAAATATACGATTTTTCAAAAATCAGCCTAGATGCTAATTAATAATCAGAGCCCGCCTTATCAATAATCTCATATAAAATGTTTAACTGCAGCTTAGCGATTTCTTTGAACATTGGTTTTCTTACTGTGTTTTGGTTTTGCAGAGTTTATAAATCTTGTATCTTCAGAATCTAATGAAGTTTGTAACAAAGAGGATAGAAGAACGATTGCTCCTGAGCATGTTCTCAAGGCTTTACAGGTTAAAAGTCTTATCCTTTATGCATCTTTACCAAACAAGTTTTAGCACAAAGACATATAAACTTTGTTTATGAACAGGTTCTGGGTTTTGGAGAATATATAGAAGAAGTCTATGCTGCTTATGAGCAACATAAGTATGAAACCATGGTAAATAATACTTCTCTTGATACTTGGAAGTTAAAGTAGAAAAAAACCTTTTAACATATACCTACGTTTGTAATCTGAGTAGCAGGACACGCAGAGGAGTGTGAAATGCAACAGTGGAGCTCAAATGACTGAGGAGGAAGCAGCAGCTGAGCAACAACGTATGTTTGCGGAAGCACGTGCTAGAATGAATGGAGGTGTTCCGGTTCCTCAACCCGAACATCCTGAAATTGACCATCCTGAAGCCGACCAGAGAAGTCTGCAAAGCTAATTGGAGACCTTACGGCTTTCTTCCTAAAAAATAAATGAAAAGAGCATCCTTTTAACGTTTCCCTTGTAAGTGCACGCAAATGCATATGTTTATATGCTCTTAGTCTTTAGTATAATATAAGTTAGTGTTTTTATGATCTGAAAACACTTGTGATTCAGATTTAGTTAGTAAGCATTTCTTGTTTTGTGTTACTTCTATCCTGAGTACATATGGTGGATCCAATTTAATGAAGCTTACAAGAAATGGATAGTGTTTAGTGATTTGGTGTAATTGTACCATTACTATAAAAAAACCAAGATTTGTATACATCGCATGGATCCTTGTGTTTAGTAAATTTATCATATAACTAATGACTCGATTGTGGCTCAGCTGATCAGATATGAATCTAGATTGGCTTAATCTTATATGATATCTTAATACGGTCAATATATCTTTATGTTAAATTCATACATATAAATTATCAACAAGGTCTGAAATAAAGAATAGACTTGTTATCACCAGACCACTTGTAGTCTTGCTCAATTATTTGTTCGTATGTTTGTCTTTTTACATGTTACCACTTTCATACCAAAACAAATTTTAAAAAATCTGATGAATGATGACATCATTGAAGCATATAAAATGGAGTGTGATTCGGACGAATCGGGAGAAGGACAAGGTACTTGGTTATTAGGACCATCACTGGAAGTAACGTCTCGGTTCGCAGGCCTCGGTTAACTCTGCACCCGACAACAACGAGAATCGCAACGGGGCTATTTCATTATCTCTATTTATGACGTCAAAAACCAACTATACAAACTTCATATTCATTTTTTGTTACATTATTATTACAGTTTGAATTATACAATCGTTTTTATTTTTCGATATAAAGACAAAGCCTGTCGAATGTTGTATGTCCATCCATCAATGGCGTGTCACACCAATCTTTATTTGAGAATATTTTGTAATGATTCGAAACTATTGCAAAACATTGATAAATGAGAATTCACCCCATCATTCATGAATAGTTGAATACATTAAACTTTCCTGTATAAGTCCATTCACCATACACAATAGTTTAGACATAATGATTTTTTTTTGCTAGACATAATAATTTGAACCACAATAATTGATGAAATTCATCTGCTTTGGGAGAAAGACTCGTAGTTCTTGAAGAAGCAAAAAGAAAATTACTTGGATTAACGGGAACTACAATGGTTGTGGTCTGTTGATAAATATATTTTAACTCTTTTTATGTACTGAAATTATAGATATAATGTGATTAAGTGATGGGACTGAACTTTGGTACATGAAATTTTACTCAAAGACCGCTTTGTAGTTAGTTGTTTGCATAAAGCATGCGTGATTTAAGTTCCAAATGGTGTTATGATGCATTAAAAAAACTTGTAAACAGTCACAGAACTAGTGTCAATAATTAGAGTTGTCGAGTGAGTTTTTTACTCTTTTTCTTCTTTTTTTGTGTCAACTACTGTTTTTACTTTCCTCACTAGTACAGATATAAACAGTTTGAAAACGTCTTTCAGCTCTTTAAAATGATTAAAGAGTCTGTAATGCAGACTAGAGATTTTGATATAAAAGAGGAGTATTTGATAAGTGTACTAAAACACTTTTTACTGTGTGAAACTTTGAAGTCAAAAAGGGGAGGAGTCAAAACAAAATGAGGCTCTTTGTGATTACCCCACATCGAAAATGAAACAACAACAACAACACACACACTTTGTCTCCAGATTCCTTTCTTTTGTCATTTTCTCGTGTTTCTCCCAAAGTATTCAACAAAAAAAACACAATCCTAGTTATTCTCTACATTAACCAAGTTATCCAATAAAAAGTAAGATTAATGGTAGTATATTCATAAGAGTGGTATTAGTGAAAATAATGGAAACAACAAAGATCATGATAAATACTAAGTAGAGTTGAAAAAGATCATTAGAGAAACAAAACAAAACAAAACTATTTATTATTTCCCTCCTCAGTGTATGATTTTTTAATTTTCTATTTGGAGCTAAAATCAATCCCAAGTCGAATCACTTGACACCTATAATGAACTAAAAAGCAAAAGACAAATCTACACACAAAAATAAAACTATTACTATATTTTTCTTCTTTATTTTTTTCCAAAATCATCTACAAAGATGAGTTGGTGGGTCAAGTTACTGTCGATTCTCTGTCAATGTATATTCTATCTTCTCTCTCACACCAACACACTCACAACGACAAGAGAGAAATATATAGAAAAAGAGTAAAGAGATAGAGAGAGTCACCAAATAGACCAAACCCTGAAGTTAAATTCACACCAGCTCCTCTGATCATTACCACATCCATAAACACACACACACAAACCCTCTCTCTCTTTCCTCAAGCTTCAGCTTCATTCAATGGCCAAACCAAACACACATGACTTCGCCTCCAAGAGACACAACAGTTTCCACTGGACAACAAAAGTCGGATCACACGAAAACGACGACGTTTCCTCACACAACTCTCTTCCCGACAAGACCAAACACAACAACAACTCTTCCTCTTCCAAAAGAAAGCTCCAAACCTTCGCCGTCTCTCGTCTCCGTTCAGTCATCTCCTCTCTCGCCAGAGCCCGACCCGGTAACAACAGCTCCGGACTCGGGTCCCGGGTCGTGGGCACACTCTTCGGATCACGCCGAGGCCACGTGCATTTCTCCGTCCAGAAAGACCCGGCTTCCCCTCCGGCGTTTCTCATCGAGCTCGCTACTCCGATCAGTGGACTCGTCAAGGAGATGGCTTCGGGGCTCGTGAGGATCGCTCTGGAGTGCGACAAGGCCAAGGAGGAAGCTAAAGGAGAAGACGGTGATCGCCGTCCACGGCGGTTGGTGGAGGAGCCGGTGTGGAGGACTTACTGCAACGGGAAGAAGTGTGGTTTCGCGGCGAGGAGGGAGTGCGGTGAGATGGAGAAGAAAGTTTTGAAGGCGCTCGAGATGGTTTCCATGGGCGCCGGAGTTTTGCCGGAGACGGTGGAGTTACCCGGCGGCGGCGGCGGCGACGGTGACGGCGGCGGCGGCGGCGACGGTGACGGCGGCGGTAGAGGCGTTGGTCACGGTGGTGGTGGTGGTAGTGTCGGTGTCGGCGGCGGCGGTGGTGGCGGCGGAGGCGGTGGTGGCGGCGGAGGCGGTGACGGCGGCGGCGGCGGTGGAGGAGATGTAATGTATATGAGGGCGAAGTTCGAGAGAATCGTGGGGTCGCGTGACTCTGAAGCTTTCTATATGATGAATCCTGATAGCAATGGAGCTCCGGAGCTTAGTATCTATCTACTCAGAATCTGAGGAAGAAGAAGATGATCATAGGAAACCCTCTGGTTCGGGAAGAAGGTTTAACGGTTAAGGAAGATTGTCCGGTTTAGTTACTTTAAATTGCCGGTTAAGTGAGAATTAAAGTAGTGTTGTTTCTTTTGTTGCAATTCGGATTAAAGTAGCAAGTTTATTTTCTTTTTTTGGGAGATGGGTTTTAGGAGGTTTTTTAATTTGGTATATGGATATGTAAGTGTATAAATTTCACTTTTTTATATAAAAAAATGTGTAATCGTTTTGTTGTTTCTAGAATGTTTTTAAGTTATCATGGAGGCACCCAGGCTGTGGAATCATAATGATTAAAGTGTTGATTTGTTTCACATTTTCCATTAGTATTTTGGTCGCTAAACTATGATTAAAAGTGTTAAATCATCATTGATTTTCTCTGATCCAAGAATAGTAATAATATTAGAATTGAATGGTATGGACCATTTGGATTTTGGACCATACATTATAAAGAATACTCCAATATAACGACGCATTATATTTATTTTTGTGAGATATTCTGCAATGTGGTGGGTCAATCTATTAAATTCGGGAGATTAGCTTCCACACATACAAATGACATACCAAACTCTATACTAGTATTTTAGTGTCGAGGAGCTTATGCTTTGTTCATTTATTTTCATTTTATTCAAACACATAGGTGTATAAGGTTATAAACTTCTACTAATTGAAAAGTAAAACTTGGTTCCAACTCATAATTCGAAAGTATTACCTGCAATATAGGAAAACAAAATACTCATAGTATATAACTTTGTCATTCCCCAGAAAAAGCAGGCGTTTTGTGCATTCACAAAGCACAGATCCGAGTAAGATTTACACTGCACGATACTCAAGGAACGTGTTTTCTTACTTTTGCTTTTTTTTTATCAACGTTAAAGAACAGATTTAGTAATATGAAATATTAAAATCATCTTCATGAGAATTTGCAAAAGAGACAAAAAGTTGATGCCTACGGCTACAACAAATAACAATTAAGATTATAAGGAAGAAAACACATGAAGGAAGTCAGGAACAAAAGAAAAAAAAGACGAGTTTAGTAGCTGATTAAAATGCGAAACAAGCAAAAGAGAAAGAAAAAAAACATATAACTAAAATGCGAAAATTCTGTTATTTGTTGGCTTAGAGGTAAAATTCCATGTTTATCAATATAATTGAACAAATGACAGAACAAAAACAAGTGATTGCTTCATGTCCTTGTGCATATACTAAACATTTGAGTACAATTGTCTTCTCCAATTATGGTGTTTTGTCTTTTTTTCTTCTTCTTCTTCTTCTCACCTTACCATTGACGGCTATGGGATAGAAAAGAGAGACACCTAATGAAGTAGTGGGTAACTATACTTTTGCTTTTAAATAAAGACCCGGCTTTAGCCCATTTTAGCTTTTTATTTCTATCTATTTTACCTCATTAAAACCATAATATTTATAAAGAGATTTCTGAAACTGTTTATGTGTTATACTTCAAGTCTCCAAGCCCTATTTCAACTCAAATCTGAAATCTAGAGATGACTCTTAGTTATGCTAAGAATCTCACTGAGAAAATAGTTCAATAACACTTAGCTCACCAGGACTTCATGAATCTTAGTCTTGCTCTAGCTATCATCAAACTATGTATGGGGTAAAGAAAACATTCTATAAATAATCAAAGCAAACAAAAAAAAAAACTATGAATTTAGAACACACAAAATCTTAGGTCAATTAGAACCATACTCAGTTGCAGAACCTGGCCACTGTTGGAACCGATATTACTGACACTGACAACATTTCGAAGTGAGTATTGACTTCACTAAGGGTTTGACAAAACGATTAAATATAGTAACTTGATAAAGAAGTAACCGATTTTCTTGGGCTATTATTCTATGGGCCTTGTTGTCTCCATATTGGGTAAGGAAAGTGATTAATCAGTCGTAGAACGGAACGTGGTGGACTACATAGCGTCCTTCTTCATGTCTTTGGTTATCGCCTCAGAGGCAATATTGAACAGGATTCGTTGACAAAAAAAAAAAAAGAACAGGATTCCGCAGCTCATTGACCAATACTTGCAGACCAGAGGCTTGCAACTTCCTGACCTTAATGACGACCGGGTATAATATATCTACGAATACTTACTACTTCTTAAGGTCTGCGTCCATACCATGGACATGGCTTAGCCTCTATTCCTCCTCACGAGCTCGATGGACTAGAGCAACAGCTCCAACATTCTGTCCTTAAAGTCCGTGAGCGTAAGGTAACATATACTAACGTAGTATGTGCTCATATATATAGATATATACTGTCTTAAAACCATGTATATTTTCATTACATTTTTGTTTGATTTCTCTTTTTTTCTGTCGATAATGTTAATATATATATTGAAGAATGAGTTGCTGCAGCAACAGTAGGGGAATCTAAGCAAAAAGGTCGCTTCTAGAATCGCTCTTTAATTTTCACTATTTCTTCTATAAATGATCTTCACGTGGCAGTTCTAATAATCAATATACCATGTTTTATGCATATTTTAGAGGCGGATGCTAGAAGATGATAACAACAATATGTACCGTTGGGTAAGTTTGGTTACTAGCTAGAGAATGTTAATTTGTTTGCACACTTTTTAGTGAATGACATTTCTTATACCGATTTGGCTATATTGCAGCTTCATGAGCATCGTACCGCAATTGAATTTCAGCAAGCTGGGATAGAGACCAAACCAGGGGAGTATCTACAGTTTCTAGAGCAATTTCAGTACTATAATAATGATCATCATCAGCAATAACCAAACACAAGTGTTCTTCAGCTCGATACGCTTCCTTCCGACATTGATCTTAATAACCATCTTCAAAACGATCCAACGGCCAAGACTGATTAATCCGCAACCATATCTACTCTTTCTTTCTTGAGACATGAAGGAAGAAAGTATCATTTCTGTTTTTTATTACCTATATTGATTAGTCAATATCTTCTTTTGTCTCTATATTTGGTGTGGCCATGGAACCTTCTTTAAAGTACAATATTTCATTTGAGAAGCACAATGGACTTTGATTATATTAATCATAATAGTTATTCATCATAATCACACATTTGGCTACTGAGATAAATATTCGAAGTAATTTAACCTAATTTGTCTATTATTATCTGTCTTATTCACTCCAAACACACATTTGTGTTTAGATTGGGTGGGACTCAAGTTAGCGGTGGTATAGTCATTAAAAACGAAACATGAACACACATGGCATAGCTCATGATTGCATTTACATTGGTTCACATAAACTGAAAATTAACAATAAGAAAATCCGGTAAATAATATTTGTTTTCAAGGTGCCACAACAATTAAACTATATATATATATTAACAAATGTCTCGGTGCATCATGAAATGAAAATAAAATCTAGATAAGACAACCAACATAACAAAATCTTGCGTATCCGCCAAGTGGGCTAATCACTCTTTTTATCTTGACGGCGACTAATCACTTCTTCTAAAAGTCAGACTCAATGGTAACTAATAACTTAGCTAATTTACGCAGTCTTATATTTATATTGCAATTTGAGTATAACTTACTGTAAATTTTCAGGCCTAGTGATACTGATGTTATTGAAATATACAAGCAAAGATGATCCAACGTACATCAGTTTCCGAATCTTTTTCTTTGTGATATACCTACATATCGAGCAGACTCGATTAAATGCACTAAAGAAATATTTTCTTTTCTTTAGTGTCTTCAGAAGAATTTTGAAAATTTGGACATTTGCCACTTCACGTAAAACACGTGATACTGCAGATACTTAAATTGAATGGCCAATAATATTTCCAAATAAATAAATAAGAACTATAGCTTCATAAGTTTTGATGTCAAAGTCTACTTACCAATCAATTACCTCATTGATTGTCTCTTTTTTTCGATAGTTAACAAATTGTGGCTTTGGTAATGAGTTAAGTTGCATAGGGTAAAACAAAAAGAACAATCACTCAGTAAATAGTAAAAATACTAAGAATTACCTCTTGTAGTAGCCTGCAGAAAGCACCCCCGGTTTGACCCACCTAGCTTTTACTCCATTGCCGCAGCGTGGCCCACACGCTAGGTCTTCACTAGAGGTCAAGAGCGTGAAGGTCATAACAAATAAAAATGTCCCCTAAAAAAAGCTAAATAAAAAAAACACAGAGGAAGTGAGCTGTGTAAAAGGACCCACCACCCACATGTGTTCTCCTTCCTGTCTCCACCAGCTTCCCTTCCTCTCAATCATTAGCTTCCCTTTCTCTCCTCCTCCTCCTCAGATAGAAAGTAAATAAGAGAATCAAGAATCAAGAACCACCAATTCTTCTTTCAAGAATCTACTCAAAACATGTCAAACAACAACGAAGAAGCTCTTGTCGTGAAGAAACCTCCGGTGAAAGATAGACACAGCAAAGTAGACGGAAGAGGGAGAAGGATACGTATGCCTATCATCTGCGCAGCTCGTGTCTTCCAGCTAACGAGAGAGCTTGGCCACAAATCAGACGGTCAAACTATAGAGTGGCTACTACGTCAAGCCGAGCCTTCAATCATAGCCGCGACAGGAACCGGTACAACTCCGGCTAGTTTCACCACCGCGTCAGCCTCTGTCCGAGGAAGCTCCACCAGCACCACAAACTGCACTTTGTCCTCGTCGTTAGACCATAAGCCTTTGCTAGGTTCCTCACCGTTTATACTCGGAAAACGTGTGAGAGCCGACGAGGAGACACCAGCTGGATTCTGGGCGGTTCCGGCGAGGCCAGAGTTCGGACAGGTATGGAGCTTTGCCGCAGGAGGTCCACAAGAGATGTTCTTACAACAACAACAACAACAAGCAGCTGCTCTTTTTGTCCACCAGCAGCAACAGCAACAGGTTGCTATGGGTGAAGCTTCAGCAGCTAGAGTTGGGAACTATCTTCCGGGTCATCTTAATCTGCTTGCTTCTTTATCTAGTGGAGTTACTGGGTCGGGTCGGAGAGAGGAGGATGAACAGCGTTGATGCCTTTTTGGTGAAGTTAAACCTTTTTTTAGTTTTGGTATATTAATATTAATATATGTTTCTCTATTGGTCATACATCAATTTCTTGCATTGTTTACTCGAGTAGCTTTATATCTCTCTCTATCTATGTGTGTGTTTTAGACTTTTAGTATTAGTTTTTAGTGATTGGTTGATTGATTCAATGAGTGTTTTGAGTGTATCGATAGTGTTTTTAAGTTAATATTAGGGTTAGGGTTTAAGAATCTGATCTTAAGAGTTGTGTTGGAGAGGTTTTTTTTTGCCTTTGTTGGGACCAAAGTTTACTTTAGTATCTCATGTAGGGTAATTAAAAAAACCGTGGAGGTTCTTTTTATCCCTTTTGTCTGTTTTTTTCCGGCGAAACAGAACCGTCGTCAAGATTCTTGATACTATTTTATAGTTTGGTAATGTGTTACAACAATTGTGGTGATAATATTTGCGCAAGCTGGTACCCACTTTGTTTCTTAATAAATGTTAGAGACTTTGTATGTGTTTGGTTTCTTTCGTTGCATCTAGTGAGAGACAAGAGCTTTTACGTGTGTGAGTGTGATTGTTTCACTGAAACCGAATATGGAGGATGAACATGCTACCGTAACTTTTTTCCTTTGGAAAATATATGTATTTTTGGTTTCAGAGAATTAATCTATACTATTATTTAAGAAGTAAATTTGCTTAGTTGTCATGTTCTCCATAAATTTAGGTACTTTTGTTTATTTATCATATTTTTAATATTTATATATAATTTATTTAAAATAAAACGAATTTATATGATATATTATATTTTTAAAAAATAAGATAATTTTTGTGATTTATGTTGTTATCTTGAACTAAATTTTCATATATAAAACTTAAAGTTTAAATTAAGATATAAAAATTATTATATTTATTATATAACTAAAACAAATTTGTATTAATAATTTTATATTTTTCTAAAATAATATAATTCTTATGTATTATGTTGTTATGTTGAAATTATAATTTCCTATTATAAAATTTAAAATTAAGATATAAAAATTATATTATTAATAAGTAAATTTAAATCATCAAAAAAATTATTTGAAAAGGGAATTTGTTGATTTGTCATCTTCTCCATGATCCTAGGTAATTTTGATCACTTATCATAATTTCTTTAATTTTGTTTTGTTATTGATTATATAATTAAAACTAATTTATATTAAGAATATGATATTTTAGAAAATAAGTTAATTCTTATTTATTATGTTGTTATCTTGAAAATATATTTTTTACTATAGAATTTGAAATTAACATGTAAGAAGTCTTTTCTATTATTTAAGAAGTGAATTTAATGTTTGATGGTTTGTCATATTTTCCATGATTTTAGGTAACTTTGATAATTATCATAATTTATATAATTTTATATATAATTTATTATATATTTAAAACAAATTTATATTAATAGTATCAGATTTTTTGAAAATATAATTTTTATATTAATCATATTTTATAATTTATTATATATTAATAGTTATTTGATGTTTGATTTTTTCTTTTCGAAAACATAAGTAATATATTAATCAAACATCAACGGATAAATATTCGTAAGAGAATTATGCCCGCAAGTGCGGGCAAAACACCTAGTTAAAAAAAAAAAAAAAGACAAAGCAGATGTGTCATCTGACTGAATTCTCTTACAATTTTTATGGCCTTAGAATTTATGTCACGTGTTTGAATGTTTGGTTTGTCACGTTAGTCAGATAAAAGATTCGACTCGCGCGTATTGAAAGTTAAAACCAGAAGGTGACGTGATATCTTTTAAATCAGGTTCTACAGTTTTTGTTCTAGAAGCTTGCTTTTGAGTTCTAACAAAACTGAACCAAAAATAGTTATAATATCTAGTATGAGATTAGCTATTCAAACATGTGGCTGGTTCATAAGCAACATAGCACTGTGTTTATATAATTTCAATAGGAGTTCTGTTGTATGTACATTACTAATTGATTATTTTAATGCTTGTTTTGATTTTAATTTTTAACTATTGTAATGTAAATCCTGGTGAAGGACAGGTAGGAAAAATAAAGTTTGATCCATGTAATAGTATGTTTAAAGCTTGAAGTAGTAAATTTTCTCATGCAACGCATATAAAAATATAGAGAAGTAAAGTATGCTATTTTTACAGTTAGTGATTAATGCGTAGATAAAGTTAACTGTAGTTTCATATCTTCGATTCTAACTCCATCTGCAGAATGGTATACATTTCTATCTCGATGAATGCTGTCAAAATGATTAGATGGGGTTTTGTAGACAAAAGCAACAAGATTAGTTATGTTTTCTCGACAAATTAGGTCGCACTAACCAATCAAAGAATTAAAAAAAAATTGCCAAGAAAATAAGAATTCAATTAATGGAAAGATCTTAACCAAAAATTAGTGCTTTTATTTCTTAGTTAAGCACTAGATTGATTAACACTCAACTATACAATATAATGCAAATAATTATCGGTGGGTGATTTTACTAATCAACTCGTATCAAAACACCCCGTACCTTTTAATGGTCGAATCATCCAAAATGACCCCAACCCCAATAATTGATATGGTCCCATTCTTGTCTACGTCCAAAATAATTTATATAGGTTTGGTATACAATATTAATTTTTATATTTGATATTTGGACCGACACACGTAAGTAAATAGTATCACTCTACCAGCTCTTTGCCGTATTAAATGTACTGTCAAATAGTTTCTCTGTAATCACCAAGAAAAATCCGAAGGAACTGATTACTAAAATTCATTATAGAGATGCTCAGACTTATAAATTCTACGGATATACAATGACACTCGCACATTAAAAGAGTGAACGCCAAAACAAAACAAAACAAATAGCCAGTTAGCTAGTGACCTGTATAAACATTCGACATGTTGTTTAGATTCATTGATCTTTTTATGCTAAAAGAAGAATGATAAACCATTCTCCAGAAAGAATATAAAAGCTCCGGTGGCCATTTATTGTGATACTTTAAGTGTAAGTGGATTCGAATTCAGGTTTCGTAAGATCCATGGAACGCCATGCAATGTTAATATGTAATACTTTGTTAACAATCTTTCTTATTATTTTTATAATATTTTCAAGTAATATAAAAATTTAACGGGATTTGGGTATTTGATATCTTTTTCATATCATTAATGCCAGATCTGAAATGGATCCGAATATTATAGGTATTTTACAGGTATTTTAATCATAGACTCGAACTGATCCGTATTCGGAAAAAACTGACCCAAAATTTACAAATATTTATGGAATTTAAAACTCTAGGATCCGAAGAAACTTGGACCCGAAAGGAACCGATCTGAAGACCGAATCCCAAGCCTAGTTAAAAGCATACCAGATGAAGTTATATGGGCCTTAATACGGGGAATAATGGGCCAAACTTCTTCTTCCGACACTAACTCCACTTAATGTTCCAGACATTGTCTCGAACCAGACACAAGTACATTCGCCGCAGAGTTAAGCCAACACGGAGGAGACGCAACCAAGAAACAGAGAGAGAAAAAATGGCGTCATCATCAGCGAGAGGAGAACTAGAGAAGATGGGAATCGATCAGCTAAAAGCATTAAAGGAACAAGCGGATCTCGAAGTGAACCTCCTCCAAGACAGTCTCAACAACATCCGCACAGCCAACGCTCGCCTCGAATCCGCGGCAGGAGCTCTCAACGATCTCTCGCTTCGACCTCAAGGCAAGAAGATGCTCGTGCCACTCACTGCTTCTCTCTATGTGCCTGGGAAGCTTGATGAAGCTGATAAGGTTCTTGTTGATATTGGCACTGGTTACTTCATCGAGGTATACATTAGAATGTGATTAGAGAGTTAAGTTGTGGAGAAAGGTGAAGTGTTTTGATTATGTGTGTTTTGTGTAGAAAACAATGGAGGATGGTAAAGATTATTGTCAGAGGAAGATTAATCTGTTGAAATCCAATTATGAACAACTCTTTGAGGTAATGTTCAATAATATATAGTTAATTGATGAAACTTTAATGGCTGTTCCTGAGTATAGGCTAGTGAAATATTTGTCTATAAAACCAAAATTTATTAAAAAAAAAAAATTGGATAAACTTTTACTAAGGGTGTGATTGGCTATTGCTGTAGATGCTCTCCACAGCCATAATTATATTTACAGCCCTATATCTACACCAATCATGATTTTTATTTTTTCTAAAGCTCACAGCCATTTTTTTTAATTCTACAGCACTTCTTTGAATTCATGTCTTTATAATTGCTCTGCAGACACAAATACCTACAACTCATATTTAAAGGCTTTTAAAAATTAAAAATCTAAAGCCAAAGCAAAAAAAATCAGAGCAATATTTCTACAGCCAAAAAATGAAATCACAGCTCTTACCAATCACTCCCTAAATTGTGTTATAGACCGCTCTTACACATTGTGATTGATGTAATCAGAAAGCCCTTTGGTTAGTCTGTTCTTGCACATTATCAAAACACTCCTTAGAGCCATGCATACACTAAGTAGTGTCTTCACTTCACTCTTAATCTGATTTGATGTTCCAGTAGTTGTTGTTAGTTGTTTCCGTATAAAGCATGATTTCTCCTTCCCATTTACTGTCATTCACAGTTTCATTGAGTGTTATTAACATTAATCTTGCATTGGTGCCACAAGTTGGTTCCAGTACCCTTTTTTTATAAAGACCTATCTCTACAGCTACAGTTATAAGCTTCGAAAATTGTTTGTTCAATGCAGGTTTTGGCTAAGAAGAAAAGCGTAGCAGATGAAGCAGGGATGGTCTTGCAGTCTAAAGTTAGACAGTTACAAGCTGCAACCACGTCTTGAAGATTCTTCTTCTCTAGTTGCTTTTTAGTACGCTGATGTTTTGAGATTTTGTCTGATCAGTTTTGTTATGACTCTTATGATCTCAACAAGTATGTGTTTTGTGGGCTAGAAGAACTTGTACTGTAATATTAAGAGAACAAGTGACTAAAAAGTTTTACAATGGAAAAAAAAAAAAAAAATTGGTTGCCTTAGTTATTTCCCATGATATTAAGAGAAAAGAGACGAGCCATGATGTTATTGTGTATGCAGAAAGAAAAAACTGAATATTGCTCTTGATCGTGCTTATCATCTGTGATCTGCACCAATGGCTTCTTGAATCGACTTGAAGCCATCTCTTTCTAAGCAACCAACCAGTTCTTCCTATTGCCATAAAAAATGAAATGAATCTTAGTATCAATGAAGTCCATATACAGAGTTGATTACAACAAAGAGATGTTGACAAAAAATGAGTTTTAACTTTGTGAATGTATTTTCAGGCTTATTTATGCTTATTAAACTTCCCTGATCCAAGAAAAGACCAGTACAAACCTTTATCTGTGGGATGAGAGCAGGTCCACCATAGGCAAACCCAGTGTAGAGCTGAACAAGAGTAGCTCCAGCTCTTATCTTCTTGTAAGCATCCTCACCACTGAAAGAAACACACAAGAACATTCACTTAGCGTTATGTTTTCTTCACAATCTGAAATACATGTTGAGACGTTTACCTGCTAACACCACCGCAGCCTATCAGTGGAATCTTTCCCTAAGTAAAGAGATCATGAAAATAGCCAATAACCCGAAATCAGAAATGCTCTAGTTCCTTGGCATAATAGTTAAATCATCTCTTTTCAGGTTAAAAAAACTTACTCGTGTCAAAGTGTACATCTCTCTTAACATGTTGGTGGAGAGATTAAAGAGCGGTTTCCCACTCAAACCACCTGTTTCTGCTGCCACAGGGTTGTTGCTTACAGGATCTGGCCTCGAGACTGTTGTATTTGATATGATCTATGTGATAACAACAAAAACAGTATCATCAACATAAACCAAAAGACTGATGAAACATTAGTTCGTGTATGAAGATAACTTACAAGCCCATCCAATTTGAGAGCAAGAGCAACCTACACAAACAAACACAAGAAAATGTTGTAAGAGCCTTTTACTTTGGAAAGTATTGAGTTTTGTTTTTGTAAGTACAAACTCACTGCTGCAATATCTTCAAGCTCTCCTCTAGATAGATCAGGAGCAATCTTAACAAGAAGAGGAGGAGGACCATCATCACCCCATTGCATCTCATCTCTAGCAGCTTGTACCTTCTTCACAAGATCCTTCAACTGTTTCCTCCCCTGAAGCATCCTCAGCCCTGCTGTGTTTGGTGATGAAACATTAATCACCTGTTGAGCAAAAAAAATGAAAACTAGTAAACACATAATCAAATGAATACTCTATAATCATTATAATAAGTTTTTTTTTTACCAAGTAATCAGCATATTGGGATAAGTTATGAACTCCCTGGACATAATCAGCAGCTGCATCTTCACTAGTCTTGTTCTTTCCAAGGTTAACCCCAAGTATACCAGGTCCAGACTTACCCCCCGGTTTAACATCATCACTTGGAGATGACGAAGCCCCTGATGTCTCCGCCAACATTCTTTTACCATGTTGAGCACCTAACCTCTTTGCAACAACAACAATCCCTTCACTGTTAAACCCACACCTATTGATAATACCTCTGCAAATGCCAAAAGAACACATCAAGAAAAGCAAAGATGATAATAATGTTTTTTTCAAGAAGAGATGCTCACCCATCTTCACGTAATCTAAAGATGCGTGGTTTAGGGTTGCCTTCTTGTGGAACTGGAGTTACAGAGCCTACTTCAACAAACCCAAATCCAAGTCCTAGCAACCCTTCTGTAGCTTCAGCGTTTTTGTCAAAACCAGCAGCAAGTCCTATAGGGTTTGTAAACTTCCTTCCCCAAACTTCAAGTCCCAAGATCTGTGGATCAGGTCTCTTCTCTCTAGGCACCCATCCGCGAGATGCAGCAGTGACAGCTAGCTTATGAGCAAACTCAGCGTCAAGTAGAGCAAAGAGAGGATTAACAACCTTTGTTGCTGAGAACAGCCACCCACTGTCAAAATGTGATTATGTAAAATAATGTTCAAGAAATCGCTCCTTAAGAGATTTTTGATTAGGCGGCCAAATAGACCAATTTTTTCAAAAGTTTTGTATGAAAAAAAAATGGTTTCGTTTATGTCTGATTTGCCTACTAAGTGAACACGCCTAAACTGATTTTTAGAACATAAATTAATAAATTAACAAAAAGACAGCAAAAGACAGCAAAAGGCAAAGATATGTAATGTGACTAATGTCTCAGGCACTTAAGTACCAGAAGGTTGCTTCATCTGCAGTACTAACATAAGCTCCTCCAGCTATGGCCAGACCAATGGTAGCTCCTGTCAATATCCTTCCCTAAAGATTCAGACAAAGCTAAATACTTGAGACATGAGAAATTGAATTGCTCTTGTAAGAGCCTAACTATATAAACATTTGATTATAGAAGAGATTAACTTTAACAAGAGAAACTGTTCTGCTGTTGTATGATCTAACTACTACTCTCTGCTACATAAGCATTGGATTACATAAAGATTCCAAATATGAAAAGATATTCCATTTCTCGTTGACATCAAAAGGTGCTTACTTTCTTGGAAAAGTGAGGGACTTTAGGTGTAGAGGAAGCTGAAGAAGAAGAAGAAGAGTTTCTAATCGGATTCGAAGAGACTCTTCTGAATAAAAACTCTCTCGCCCATTTAGCAGACGATGTTGCAGCCCTTCCGGCCATTTAAGCAAAAGAGGATTGGTTTTTCAGACAATACAGATAACTGTAAGAAGAGGGTTTTTAGGCTTTGAGCTCACGGTTTGATCAGAGAGGGGATACACGCTTATGCGTTGGTCTGTTTCGAAGAATCTTTCAGTAAGTTAGCCTAAAACCCTCTCCTTCCGGTTTATTTTGGTTAACCGGAGAGGGGAAGCCTTTTTAAATTTATTAACATTAACCGGATTGAACCAACATAGATTGATAAGGTCCCTTTCTCTCTCTCTGTAAAACCAACTCTGTCTCCATATGTTAACAATGGCTTCTTATCTTGTCCTGACAAGCAGTTTCTGTTTTGTTTTAGATTCTAGAATACGTTTGAAATCCTCCAAGCTTGTCCATCTGGTTCGGTTCCTTATTGAGTCACATTGAAATGGTTTCACTTCATATTGAATCAGTTATCTTTCAGTTACCAAAGCTTCAAATAGGACTCAAATTAAAAAAAAACATGCCATGGTTGAATTCAAATATGACTCTAATTTAATAGATTAGATATGATTTAAAAGATTAGATATAATCTAATTCAATGGATAACAAAAGCATTAAATACTTACAAAAAAGAAGAAGAAGGTTTGTACAATATTGTCTGAATATTCTAGACTTTCTCCTAACATATTTAGATTGAAATATAGGTTAATTTCCTCTTCAATCCTTGATATTGCTCAAGAGAAAGTGCTTGCTCCAGACAGTTAAAAGATTTCTTGTAGCTCAAGAATCCCATGAACCAGAAGTCAAAGCCATCAACCGTGACTACTTCAATGTACTGCTGAGATGGGTTCTATAGTCGCTTATAGTCGCTTCGGATGATTATGATCTCAATATTTCTTTCCAGATCTGAATGTTGATCATTGGGCTTAATAATATTGACGGGCTTTCTAAAATCCCAGCTAAAACGTTTTCAACTTTGCGCTAAAGCGGTGCTATTAGTCGGTTGTGTGTTCAAGTACCTTCATGAGGTGGTGAGAACCAGTTCTAGGGTTGTCCATGTATCAACAATTGATTTCTTCTATCACACTGGCAGTGGAATCCTTGTTGAAGGTTGTTATACCCTTGATTTCCCTGTTGGAGGTACAATACACGTTCGCAAAGGTGGATCTGTGTATGTCTCACGCTGGGATGATTCTGTTCTGGCTGCAGATGGGTGAGCATTGCGGTTCCAATCGGTGGTGCTCTTAAGTTCTATTTCAGCAATGAAGAAATGGCTACTATCTTGCATAACCTTTAATCGGCTTAATAATATTGATGGGTTTTTAAAATCCCGGCTAAAACGTTTTCAACTTTGCGTTAAAGCGGTGCTATTTGGCGCCATAGCGTTGCTATATTGCGCCTTTTACCAACAATGTATGTTTTGAAAAGACCAGAAATACATTTTTAGTGCATAACTGCCTAATGTTAGATGTGTATTCTTTATGGTGATACAGATAAGTTTTATCATTGTTTCTTGCTAATGAAAATTCTGACATATAAAAAGAATCAAACATTAAAACAAACTAAAAAAATATTGATAGGATACACATATAAATTAAAATTGTTTTTTTCCAGATCCCAACTTTTTAAAGATCTGATAATCCTTTGGACTTGAATAAGTATTATGGGCTTTCTTCCAGTCTCTCCCTAGCCTACTACATTGTCTCACCCAACATGTATTCTTTGGCTAACAAAAAGAAAGTTGAGGAACAAACTGATAAATAGTTGATAATCTCATCGAGTAACAAATGCTCTTCCTATTATCTGAATCAAAGGTAAATATAATGTTGAAATGCTAGAGGTTATATAACAACAAAAACATCATGAAAAGGACAGAAACATATATCTTATTAGAAAAACAGTTTTTGAAAGTCAAGTGTTAGCATCTTATAATCAAAGGTAAACATAATGTTGATTTTCCACCTTAACCAACTAACCGCTGTCTTCAAGTCTGTTTCTTGGTCAACCATTTTCAAGTCATCTATATTGAGTTAGTTTGGGCTTGTCAAGTGGTAATACTTGGCTTAGAGAGCAATTGGTTTCTCATTCCAACAGTTAACGTATCAGTTGGCAGCTAGGAAAAATCATAAGTTATTATTGTCATTAATTGATTGGAAGCCGCTTAGTCTATCTTGTAGAGTTTAGAATGATTAATGGTTGAAAATCCAAACTATTTTAAGATGCTAACACTTGTTATGTTTATCTTACATAGATTTTAAAAATATATGTTAAATATCTTATATTGTTATCAGCAATGTAATTCAACAATATCAAAATCAAAAATTGAACATCAATTATAAAGCTATCTCAATAATCACTGGTTACAATTTTTCATTATCAACTATAAAACTGTCTCAATAAAAACTGATTAAAATCTCTCATATATCAGTTTTGATGTCCCTATAATTGCTAAATAACTCATGATGTAGTGCATAATATTTAAAGAAATTTTTGTAACCAGTATGGAACCTATATATCTTAGAACTTAGAAGCTAAAACCATATTTGAGAGCTTTCAATTTTGAAGCTACATAATCACGTACGTAAAAATCATTCTTTAAGTTTAAAAATATATTTTTAATTTGTACTTAGATCATTTACGAATATATGAAACAAAATTAAATATTAATGTAGATAACCTAGAGGTATGCATTCATTCAAATTGTTTTGCAATGAAAACTATATATATGAATAAATTTAGCCAATTTTATCTTCACAAATGGTTATGTTTATGTATTTTAAGTTGATTATATTTCACCAATATGATGGTCACTTGAAGGTGAGTATATAAAATTATAATCTTATTTATAAGGAGAAAATACAGAAATTGTGAAGTAATAAATCTGGATTAAGCCTTCATCAATACAATCATAGCATATGTTTGTAGATTAGTTATGTAAATCAGATTGTTTGTTGCTGTTTTGAAGCTTCAGAATCTTCCTCACGGATGGTGGAGATTGGTTACATTTTCTGTGACAGTCGGAACATTCTCCTGCTGACGATGAAAATTGGCAGTGAGGACGGCAAATGACGCTGCATTCTACCTCCGATTTGGCTTCACCTCCGATCACAAACACCGCTATGATCATCATCATTATCCATACTGCATTCAAACTTTTACCCATTTTTCTATATGTTTTTTTTTCTGTATTATGGAACTATGAATATGTTATAAAATGAACTTACACCTCTATTTATAAATTTGATACAAGAATGACTATGTCATTTTCAAATTAATAGAATTTAGTTTTACTTATTACTCATAAATTTATAGGTACAATATCTTAGTAGAATAACTTTATAATACAGCAATAAGATTTTACTAATATATTCATTCCAGTTCTGTATATCTTTTAGAGGAATCATATTTTGTATGTTAAAATATTTACTACTTCAGCAATCAAACCAAATCACAAATACAATATTTCATAATCTAAGTAGATTTTTAGCAGATATTGTTTTAAATTTTTTTATCTTAAATATATTCAGATTAACATTAATTTATTGATGTTTACTATATTACCTACTAAACAAGACTTACTAGAATAATTTGAAAACATATTATTTGGGCTAGAGTCCACATCGTTAGTTAGAACTTAGAAGAGATCATAACTAGTATGTAGTAGATATGAGCTAATCCATTTATTATTAATATAGTTTAGGTTTGAAGTTTATCTAACGTATCAGAATCCGATTCATGCAGTTTAAGTACCAAAAATTGATCTGACAAATAATTGGCATATAGATCATTGCCCATATATTCTGAGATTTAGGTCCAAAGAACAATCATATCATAAGAGTCTATTAGAGACAAAGTTCCACATCAAAAACTGGAAAAAAATATAAGTAAAATATAAGGGAGATGAGATAAATTCATTTATCACCAATTTGTTATAGCTCGTAACATTTAATCTAATATGGTATCAAAACCGATCCATGAGATCCAACTGATCCATAATCGATCCCTCCAAAAATTGTCTCGTCGTTGTCTAAATATTATGTGGTCAAAGAATCATTACTGCAAATAGACATATTAGGAACAAAGTCCTACATCAAAAGTTGGTAAAGATCACAACTAGTATATACGCCAATGCATTTACAACTGATTAGTTTAAAGGTAAAAGTTTATGTAACTCAATACATATATAACCCAACAAAGGTTTTATTGTTGAGACTCCCTTCCCATTTAAATTTACTTGTAATTTAGAGGATCCCAGGGTTTCCCAGAATGTAAATGAGAACAAACTTATTAGAGATGTTCTCAGTTGGGTATCTAACACGTACGAAACAATAAATTATCATACTTTTAAATAGATAAGTATCTCAAATATTTGCGAACTCTATCTAAAAATATCTCGAAGTATTTCATTTATAATATTTTGGGTGGGATCCCATTTTATGGTTATTTGTTAGATACTTGTGTGAGAACTTTTCTAATAGAGACGCCCTTAGGAACACTAACTCCCCAGCTCCTCAACTGATCACAAATAACCAGCTTGTCTCTTAGCAAGAATCCAAGACAAGAACGCATGCTTAGGTATATGACCAGACAAACAAACCTGTCTATGCCAAAAAACAGGTTGTTCAGGTGGATTCAGAGCTTGCCAAGTATTTGCAGATGAAAACCATCAGTAGACATATCATTACTTGTTTTCCATGAGCATAAATCATAACTTTCTAATTCTATAATAGGGAGGTGACTTGGAAGACATGATTTGAGTAGAACAATAGATGAATTTCTGCTCCTGGAGTTACTTGTCACCAACCACATCGATAGGCAAACCAGCAGCTGCTGCTCCATTAAGTCTTACAAGATCAATCAATGGACCCAAAGCTGTCCAGTTATTCATCAAAAAACTTGCTCAGATTCATGACCCGACTTCAGTCACTAAAAACTGCCTAGTCAAAGGTCTGAGATGTTTCAAAAAAAAATGTCAGAGCTTGGAGAAATAATAAATGTTATTTGTTCTTACTTCTTACTCTATATTTGATAATTATTGAGCAATTTAAGAATTGATAGTTCCAGGCTTCTAGATTTTTCCGTCTCTAATTATTTCATAATAATTTGTAAATTAGTATATATCTTTCTTGTTCTTTTCTTTAACTCCCAGTCTCTTAATTAGCGCATCCCAAATGTGTAGTATCTTTTCCCCAAGAGTTCCTAATTAATAGTTTTAATATTAATAGCTGTAATATAATCTTATACATAAGTCATTTATTCTATTATTATATATGTAAGTAATAAACAGAAAAGAAAAAATCTAAACAATTAAGGAAGAAAACAATAAGTCCACTGCTGTTAAATGGTAATAAATATAAATACAGCAGAGACCAATATTTAGAATTTGCATAGTTATGGAAAATAATAATTTTAAAAACTAATTTAAAAAAAAAACTAATTTTGTCTATTTTCTTTGAATTCTTTAATTATATCCTCTCCCATTTTTCATCTAGGATTTCTTCACAGTTTTATATATCTCCTACTCCATTTTTCATCCATCTCTGTAAGAATTAGAACCCATTTCTTAAATATATTTTTTCACTAATATTTACTTCTTTGGTGAGAAGAAAATGTCGTCCTCCGTACTTAATTCTAATTACCGGAGCTTTCTCGCACGTACTTCACCTCGTGTCCCTGTTCGTTATCATACTCAGGTAACGTTTTTATCCTTTTTTCTCAAATCTATTACGAAGCTTTGCAAGAAGCTAAAAGAATCTACGATATGATGATATGCTTAAATTAAGACAGAAGTCACAGAACCGTATCTTAACTCCTCTTCTCTACCAACCACATTCGAAAAAATAAAAATTATGAGAATCGATTTATAATAATTGAAATAATACGAGGGCTTATTAAGAAAATGAGAGTTATAATTTTTTTTTTAACCCGGTTTACGTTAAACCAAATCATTGTGTGCAGCTAAGTGGAGCGTCCTCTTCTTCAACGGTAGAAGTAGTGAGAAGGCCTCACATCGTCCTCGGAGATATTTGGTCTGCCTATGAAAAGTTTAGTTGCTTTGGTACTGAAGTTCCTCTTTCCCTTGAAGGCATCAACGAAGAGGTTACCTCGTACTATGCTCCTACACTCTCCGCCATGCAGATCTTCACCATCAAACCCTTCGCTGACGAGGGTGGTTCCTCTTCAAAGTTAGGTTTCTCTTGTCTCTCCCCATTATATTGATATTGTGCGTCTTACTTATCATTTGCTTCTTGTTACTAGGTCATAAGTACATATTGTATGTCTTGGTAGTGTAGTTATTTAAAGTAATTGCTTATTATTCTTTCGTTTTCTGAACGTAGGAGCTCTTCGATAGGGACAGATGATAGCTCAGGCTACCTTTATTTCCAATACAATGAGCTAGTATTGCCGCACAAGAGGCACCCACTGACTCAAAAGGTATCGTATACTTGTCTTGTGTTGAATATATAAACTCTAAAACGGGTATTTTTTCTACAAATTGTAAGTTATTTGTTCACATAATCAATATACAAACTCTAAAACGGGTATTTGTTTCAATCGTGTTTTGTCTCTAAAGTGTTCTTACTTTCTTAGTGTTTTGCTTTGCGTTTGTTCACAGCATCTTGTGTGTTCCCTTTTTGATGTTGAATTTGTTTTCCAAGAGATTTTTAATTTTTTTTTGCATATATGTTTTGTAGATTGAGCAATTGGCTGAGGAGCACAGTGGGTTGAATAGCCTGACAAGTTCAGATCTTTCTCCAGATAGCTGGTTTTCTGTAGCGTGGTATGTCTGAGTTCTCTATCATCTTATTCAGCTTAAGCCTACTTAGATCTTGAATATGTTTCTGCTTAGTGAATCTCCAAAACAACTTGGTTTCTTCCCATGATGTATTTGATGATAGTTGATGTCTTACTCCAAATATATTAACTTAGTTTTTTAAATTTACTTTAGGTATCCCATTTATCCAATTCCATCAGTGAAAGGCATGAAGAAGGAGTTATCTGCTGCTTTCCTAACGTACCATAAGTTGAAACCAGACTTTCCAGGTACTTTGGTGATCATTTGGGAACTAACATTACCTTCACAATGCAATAAGCTCTACTAAAGTAAAGTTATGTCCTTTGTTCTTGTTAAGTTGTATGTTATTTTATATGGTAACCATTATTATATGAAGTTTGATAGATATTTTAGCAGTGGTTTGGTGAGAGGATGAATTTATTGAGATAGATCAGGATTATTGAGAATTAAAGGATTATGATTGTGTGTTTCCTAATTTCGGTGTTTCTCTATTAGAAAGCTGTTAATCTTATATAGGGTGACTAAAATCCGGTATAGTAGTAAAAGGCCATCATTCTAGGTCGAAATATAAATTGTTTTAAGGGTTATAAATACGGATGTAGGGGTTTATAACTAATTATTCACATCATTAATAAAGAAACCTTAAATAAATACGGATGTAAGGGTTTGACTCGATCTAGGTTCTTCTCTAGCTACAATATCTTGCTTTCTTGAGTTTAATTTGCTGGTTATTCTACAGCTTTTGGTATGACAAATGAACAAGTGGTTGATCATTTACATTTTTGGTCTTAATCAATAATTAATTATTTTCGTAGATCTAAACTAGTTTATGCTTGTGATTTGTTCAGAAATATTTGTTGAGGATGATAAGAAGGGGAAAGGGAGTGGAAAGTCAAGTGAAGTAGTTGTGTTTCCTCCATTTGGAGCAATGACTTACAAGGCAGTTGGTAACGTGTGGAAAATGCCTGGGACATCAGATCATGAAGATAGAAAGAAGTATGAAGAAGCTGCTTCCTCGTGGGTGGAAAAACTCAGCTTCACTCACAGTGATTACAATTTCTTTTCCAATTGCATGCGCTATGGCAACCCGCGTTGGTGGAGCGATGCTACTGGTGGTTACCTCTGATCTCTCTGATGTTGAAGATGGACCTTTTCTATATCTTTCTCTCAGACAAATCTCGATGTTATTACTCTTGAGTTTGAGGGTTTTCTTTTGTTTCTTAAAATTTTCAAGAGGATGCTATTGGTTAATATTTTGGCTCGAAAACTCGATTATATCCTCTTTATCTAGAAAAAATTTGTAACATGGTCGTAGGAGAAATGCTTCTTAGTCTTGGTAGTTCAATTCATAACATGAAAAAAAGATAGAAAATGATAATGAAACATCAACAAATATGTTTTCAAATCCTACGCGTATTACCATTTTCGACTTGTAGTCCAGTAATATGTGTGATATTGTACTAACCGTACTAACCGTGCTTAGCTTTCATCTAATAGTGTTTCTGTTGTATCATATACAGTTAGTGCTATAACACAAATGGGGTTTCATTGAAGAAACTAATTACCTGAACAAAAGAAATCTATCGGTATGATATAATCAAAAGCATATCTAGAAACAGACACAATGTGTGTGAGTGATAAAAGTCTATTTCTTCTTCTTGCTGCAACCCCTTCCTATTACATAGATCCGCCTCTGGGAATATACCTCATCCTTCATTCACTCATTCATTTTCTCTCATTCTCATAAAGTTATTTTTTTGTTAATAATTAATAATATATACTTTTATACTAAAGAAACTTTTATTTGAAAAATAATTAAATAATAAAAAATTATCCACTGTAGCCAAATGTTTTTAATTTCTTAAGTTTTTTTTTGCAATTGTAAAAATATGATCAATCAGCATTCCATATTGTCAGTTTTGGAGTTACGACGCACGAAAAAGTAATATCGAATCATGCTAGAAATATCAAATGAAGAATACACAAAAGGTTTCTAAATGTATATAGTACTGCTTTTAATGCGAAATGATCTGACAGGACCACTCTCTGACCGAATTAGCAACTTGAAGTCGCTCTCTAGCAACTTGAGTAGTAACAACAGATAAGATCAGACCCAAAGAGAGACTAAGATATCTAGTAGTCATCTAAAGTCTCTTCTTCCTCTTCTTCTTTACCTTCAGGTCTTTTTGTCAAATTCGGGTTATTATGGGCTTCCAACTTAAAACCAATTGGTGATTAGTGGATTGGCCCTAACCCTTTATATATTACTTAAGGTCCCTTTGATTTCCCGATGTGGGATATATTATCCCTAATACCCCTCCTCGAGATGATGGCTCTTATCGGCCAGAAATCTCTGAACTTCAAGACAGTTATACTCGGTCGAGCGAGTCAAATACGACAATTATACCTAGTCGGAAGGTTAAACACGACCTATATACCCCGGCCGAAAGGGTTAATTAATTAATTAGGAGTTTAGGGTTTTTTCGGATCTGGGCTCTGATACCATGTCAAATTCGGGTTATTATGGGCTTCCAACTTAAAACCAATTGGTGATTAGTGGATTGGCCCTAACCCTTTATATATTACTTAAGGTCCCTTTGATTTCCCGATGTGGGATATATTATCCCTAATACTTTTGTTCACATCTTCATCCTCAGCCTCCTCAGCTTGCTTCTCATCGGCATCAACAGCTTATTTATCTTCAACATCATCAGCATCATTCGCAGTGGCGGAGGTAGAGTTTTGTTTTGTAGGGGGCATGATTAAATCTGTTCATAAAACTAAAGATAGTTTTGTTAAAATCATGGGGGCATATGTAGTATTAGTCAATGTTTTACACAGAATTTTCAAAATGAGTTGGGGTCAGATGCCCCCCTCTTACTCCATGTGCCTCCGCCACTGATCATTCGATTGCATCTCCTCATCCTCTTCCTGAAATAGTCACCACATCGCCTTAGGACTCAAGATTCAATGTTACTTAGAAAAAAAAGGAAAGACAAATCAATATACGAGCAACATACTTCCTCATCAGCATCGTTGCTCTCTACTGACTTGTTATACTCTGCCATAAGATCAGCAGCCTTATCCAAATAAACTTTCTTCTCCTAAATGATCAAAGCATACAACAGAGTAAGACTACAATAAGCAAATCATCATGAAACTCAGAGAAGAAACAAAGAATAGAGAAACTCACTTCCATAGTCAAAGACTTCCACTTCTCAACACCCTGCTTTGCAACCTACAATCATATAGAAAGCCTAGACTATTATTAAATCTCAATAAACACTAGCACACTACAGTCTACTTACATCCAGATCGTTAGAAGTAGGATTCTCTTCTTTGAAAGTTTTGCAGAAATCATTCCTAAAAGTGAAAGCAAATGTCAGCACAAAATCTCTGTAATTAGAAGCACCAGCAAAACCAAAACGACTATGTAAGGAGGATGATTACATGAAAATGAATAAGGAAGGAAGATGAATCTTGGCCTTGGGCTTGTTAGAGGTAGAGGTCTTCTCCTTCTCATCGTTGATCACATTCACTTCAGCCTCATCCGCTTGTTTCTCTTCAACATCATCACCTTCATCTGATTGCTTCTCTTCATCCTCTTCCTGAAAAAGTCAGCACGTCATTTTAGGACTAAAGATTCAATGTATATTTGAGAAAACAAAGGAAAGACAAATAATTTCACAGATTTATCCAAATAAACTTTCTTAAAGAAGACCAAATAACACAATCAGAGTAAGACCACAATAAGCAAATCACTATGAAACACGGGCAAGAAACAAAGAACCGAGTAACTAACTTCCTCAGTCAAAGACTTCAACTTCTCACCACACTAATCTGTAAAGTAACTCTTCATAACCACAAGTAGCAAACTTGGTTACAAGTTTCGATCACATAGTCTACTAAATCTTAATAAGACTAATTCGTGTAAAGACTTACATCCTTAACGTTACGGGAAGGGGGGAAGCCGGAGAAGGCAGTGGAGATGTTGATAGTTTCACTGGAGCGATGGAACTCAGCAACACCTCCCACTGGTGCAGTAACTTCACACCCTTCCCTGGCAATTATCGGGCAACGATCTCTCACAAAGATTAAACCATCGGGAGAAACACTGATCCAACCTCCTAAAGAAAATGAGAGATCTATGGGGGCATTAATGACCAGATCAGTAAACTCCGTGGAATTCGATGCAGAGTGACCTCCCACAATGTACACTCTCATGGCATCAGTGGTCTCAATCCTATCAGGAAAACGGAACACAAAACCTAACACACAAGATAAATTAGATTAGAATATCAATCTCAAAAACAAACAATAATAAACAGGAGAGGAGACACAACCTCGTGGTGGAGGAGAGACACCTCTGGGAGGAGAGAGACATCCTGAAGATTGGTACGAAGAACCTCGAAGAGAAGAAGAACCCAGAGAAAAACCTCCTCCTGAAGAAGGAGTCCAGAGTAGACACCTTGGAGGAGGACTCAAGAGTAAACGGAATTGAGAAGGTGTATAGAGTCCTGATACTGTAGGTGTTTCTTCAACTGAAAAAAAAGCATTAATAAGACAACTATAATATTAACATATAATAAAAATCGAACAAAACTAGACAAGGATAAGATTTAACCTCCAGACGAAACAAACTCTGGAACACTTCGCCCAGATACATATTCGATCGATCCGGTGGGAAACTGGGGGAAACCGGTGAAGGGATCAGCTCAGGAGTGTGCGGAGGGGATTCAATGATGTTTGGCGGTGGGGATTGCGGTGGAGATAGAGGTGGAGATGGAGGTAGAGATGGAGGTGCGATCGTAGCAAAAGGAGATCGAAAACGAAAAACGTAGTCTGGAGAAATCGGCGAAACAGAACCAGATCCGCCAATATCTTGGATTTCATCAATATTTTCAAGACATGGTTATGAACAAAATATAGTGTTTGATTTTGTTTTGTAGATTATATGCTTCAAAGTGTTGTTGGGGTTGTTTTCAATTTTTCCTATGAAATTTTTCGAACTCGTGCTAGGACTGTGCACATTTGTAGTTCCAACTTTGCCAGACACACTGGTCGTGGAATTATTGTTGTTCATGGCGATTGATGACATTAACTTTTCTGAAAGAGGGACAGTGGAAGTTCGTTTTGAAGTCATGTCGATTACTTCTCAATCAGTTTATGATTTGCTTTATTGGATCAGAGATATAGATATTGATGTTCTTAAGCTAGCCGATAGGAATAGGCAGAGCAGTCTATGTATACATTTTTAAAAGGTACAAACATATTATAAAATATGCTATGGAAATCAAAAGATAATATATGAATAGTTTACAATTCTTAATGACTATAATAACATTGATGCTCAACAAAAAGTAATCAGGTGAGGTATCGGATAATGATAACAAATAAAAGATTATCAATAATATACCAAGTTGTTATTAGATTATTTACAGTTGAATTATTATTATTTACTTTCTAGGACATCTATTGGTGAATGAAAAGCTGCCTCTGGCGACGGAATTGGGTTTATGTTATTATCATTACAAAAATAAACTTTGTAGTTTGTAGTGAAAATGTTACATAGTGGAGATTACTAGTACCTAGAGAAATTAGTTCAATAAATAGAGAATGATATTGACCAAAATTAAAAACTAAAAATATAGTGAATGATAATCTCATATATATCAATTGAGAAGCATTACAATATATTTTGGTAGCAGCGTGTCATCACGAGAATGCTTCTCAAATTTACCAGAGAAAAATGTTGGTCTAGATAAACATATAATATATTTTTTACTAAGCATAAAACTATTATTAATGCTAATCATTATTTCCTTAAATAAAATTTACGGAATTACCTAATATGGTTATAATATATATATATATATATGACAATTAATTATTTAAATATGAAAGATTTGATACAAAATTGTATAGTCTCTACTTTTTTTGTTAAATTTATATTGTGAAAATATATTAAACAATAACATTAATTATGTAACAAAAAATTAGATTTTTTATATATGTTATATTTTGAATTTTTAAAAACGACTATAAATTAATTAAAATTTTAAAAATTTCACATTTAATATTTTTGATTAATAGTTTAAATTTTTTTGTAGCACGATACAAATAATTATATAATTAATGAGTAAGTAATATCATTTAATAGATATTTAAATTAGATGTATATGTATATATATGTATATTTTAGTGATGTTTAAATTAAACTAAATACCATATAAAAATACATAAATATTTAATTCCAAAATTGCATTAAACAAGTATTAAAAACTTAATAATTTAATGAAAAAATTTGAATTTGTTTTTTTTAAACAATGATAAATTACTTTAACTATTAAATCTCTCACATTAAAACTGATGTTATCAATATTTTAAAAATTTTATTACAAAAATATACAAATGATCATAAAACCATGTAAGTGTGAATCTTAATTTATTAGATATCCAAATTAAAAGTATAATACATATATATATATATATATATATGTTAATATCATTTACTAATTAGATTACTTATATAAAGTGATTGTAATAAACAAGTATGATTATTTCATATAAGTGTTTGCTAAATTAATTGTATATATAATAGTTACAGAATTTTCAATTATTCAATATATATATTATTTTATTATATATAAAAAACACAAAATAAATAATAAGACATAAAATAATTTTTATCCCGCGCATTTACGCGGGTATTAACCTAGTTTTAATTATTTCAACTATCATTTATAATAGGAAATTTAAATTATAGTCACCTTGTTATCTTCTACAAGTTTCTCTTTTCAGATAAAAAGAATTTTTTTTTTGTCACGAACAAAAAGAATTTTATGTATTGGATTTTATCAGTATGATTACGACATGGTCATGAACAAAATATATAGATAATCAACGGATAGTGTTCGAATCATGTAGGTGGGGTGTCTATCACAGTAAAGCCTCACAACATAAACATATTTAATCTGACTTAATTAACAACCTTTTTGGAAACTTCTACTACTGTATTGGTAACGTTATTATGAGACAAACAGTGGAATATATCACGAATTCACATGAATTTATTTAATGATATGTGCTCTTGAGAGCTAAAACATCCCAGAGAAGAGAAGATTGCTAACAGTGTAAACAATATTCAAACTGTTTTGCGCTCCAACGTTCAAAAAATACAATAGGGATACTCGTGATTCATCCAACGGTCACAATTCTACATGTGAATCTCTTCATGGCCTTTTGTGTAAATTTCAAAAAAAATATTATTCTCTTTTTTCACCACTTCTATAAGTAAAGGTTGATAATTTTCCAGATCCCCATCAATTCTCAGAGCTTTTTCTTTGGTTAAAGTAAAAATTAAAATATCTTTTTGCAGCTTCCTGTCCAAGTGAAGGAACAATAATAAAACAGATTTTTTATTTATTTATTCACCTTTATACCATTACAAGTCAAAGTTAACTCTTGTTTGTCTGAGAAACAAACCTTCTCTTTAACCCTTTGTGTTAAACTAATCAAAACCATCTTCCCAAAATGCAAAACCTGAGATGGGTGTTTCTTCTCTTCCTTGTTTCTTCTCTTCTTGTTCACACATCATCATCACAAGCAATCTGCTCAAGCCAAGACAGAGCAGCACTTCTATCATTCAAATCAAGCATCATCAAAGACACAACAGGAGTTTTATCTTCATGGGTTGGTAAAGACTGTTGCAATGGAGAATGGGAAGGTGTTCAATGCAATCCATCCACAGGAAAAGTCACAAACTTGGTGTTGAGAAACTCCTTGAACGAACCTACACTCTACATGAAAGGCACGTTATCATCTGCTCTAGGGAACCTCGGATCTCTCCAGGTTTTGTTCATTTCTGGAACAAAACTCATCGCTGGCTCGATTCCCAACAGCTTCTCTAAGCTAACTAGTCTTACTCAGCTCGTGCTTGATGATAATTCACTCCAAGGGAACGTTCCTTCTTGCTTAGGACATCTTCCGTTCTTGGAGATTCTTTCATTGGCTGGAAACCGTTTCTCAGGTGTTGTCCCTGCGAGTTTGGGGAGCTTGAGAAGGCTCTCAGTGATGATGTTGTCTCGAAACTCTCTCTCTGGTCCAATCCCAGTGACGTTCAAGAACCTTGTCAAGCTTCAGACTCTTGACGTCAGCTACAATAAGTTATCTGGACCAATACCAGACTTCATAGGGAAGTTTCAGGAACTAACAACTCTTGATCTCTCTAGCAACAGATTCTCCGGGGGATTACCAGTTTCTGTTTACAGCTTGGGGAAGCTTCAGGACATGTCGTTGGAGCGAAATGATCTGACTGGACCAGTCTCTGATCGTATCATCAACTTGAAGTCGCTTTCTAGCCTTGACTTGAGCAGCAACAAGTTTACTGGTCACATACCAGCATCCATTACAAGGCTGCAGAATCTCTGGTCTCTTAATCTCTCAAGAAACCATTTCTCTGATCCTCTGCCTATTGTAGGAAGCAGAGGTTTTCCTTCTTTACTGTCCGTTGATCTTTCCTACAACAGCCTTAATCTTGGAGCAGTTCCAAGCTGGATCAGAGAGAAGAGACTCACAGAGATTAACTTAGCTGGTTGTAAACTAAGAGGAGCCTTTCCTAAGCTAGCAAGACCACACGACGTGACATCCCTAGACTTGTCTGAGAACTTCCTCACAGGTGATGTTGGAGCTTTTCTCGCTAACATGACCAGTCTTCAGAGAGTGAAGCTTTCCAAGAACCAGCTTAGGTTAGATCTCTCAAAGCTCAAGTTGCCAGAAGGTGTCTCTTCCGTTGATCTAAGTTCAAATGTAGTGACTGGTTCGCTTTCAAGCCTGTTGAACAGCAAGACAAGCCGGTTCTTGGAAGAGGTTCATCTCACCAACAACCAAATCTCAGGGAGGATACCTGATTTTGCAGAGAGCTTGAACCTGAAAGTACTCAACATAGGGAACAACAAGATCAGTGGACAGATTCCAAGTTCAATATCAAACCTTGTTGAACTTGTGAGACTAGACATCTCAAGGAATCACGTTTCAGGAGTCATACCTCAGAATTTAGGACAGCTTATGCAGCTCAACTGGCTAGACCTCTCGATCAATGGACTTGCAGGAAGAATCCCTGATAGCTTGTTGAACATCAAGGCGATGAAGCATGTGAGTTTCAGGGCCAATAAATTGTGTGGACTGATTCCACAAGGAAGACCGTTGAACATCTTTCCTGCAGCTGCTTATCTTCATAACCTTTGCTTGTGTGGCAAGCCGTTACCAGCTTGCAGGAAGACAAAGAAGTGAAAACAAACACACACATTTTAAGGTGGCCAGTCCAACGCTGACTTGATTGATCTTAAACCTATCACTCTACGCAATTATTAAAAAAAATAGATGATATCTTCTATTTGTCTTTTAACTATTTTCTTACTATTCTATTGTTTTAATCTCTACTTGTATACTTCTGTTTCCAGCTAAATAAATTATTACCACTTGATTTTAGCAAGCAAAACACAAACTGATTAAATTCTAACCAAGAGATAACTTCCGATTCTACATCACTGTAAACACAAAAAGCATTACCATTCCGCGAACTACAAAAACTTCCCTTGCTCACAAGGCACAACTACCTTCAGATAACTAGTTTAACGAAAACAGAGGTTTGAAATGTACAACGAACCATGACGATAGATAAGATCAGACCCAAAGAGAGATTAAGATAGCTAGTAGTCATCCAAAATCTCTTCTTCCTCTTCTTCTTTACCTTCATCAGATTCTTTGTTTACATCCTCATCCTCCTCAGCTTCTTTCTTCTCAGCATCGTCAGTTTGTTTCTCTTTAGCATCCTCATCAGATTGCTTCTCCCCATCCTCTTCCTGAAACAGTCACCGTATCATCTTTAAGACTCTCAAGCTTCCATGTTATAGTGACAGAAAAAAAAAAGACAAACGATCAATAGTGCAACACATACTTCCTCATCAGCATCGTTGCTCTCCAGTGACTTGTTATACTCTGCCTTTAGTTCGGCAGCCTTATCCAAATAAACTTTCTTTTCCTAAATGATCAAATAACACAGAGTAAGAACACAATAAGCAAATCACCATGAAAGTAAGGGAAGAAACAAAGAACAGAGCAACTCACTTCCTCAGTCAAAGACTTCCACTTTTCACCACCCTGCTTTGCAACCTACGATAATATCATACAGAAAGCAAAGACTATCAAATCTTCATAACCAATTAGCATTAAAGTAACACATTGGCTACAACCTATGATCGTATATATATAATGAGTCTATTATTAACTCTTCATCACAAGCATACTAATTCATGTAAAGTAGCAAACGTGATTACAACCTACAATCATAAAGGAAGCATGCTCTATTAAATCTTAATAAACAGAAGCAAACTAATTCATGTTAAGTAACAAACTTGGCTACGACATAGCATAGTATATATTAAACCTACATAAACACAAACATATTAATCATGTAAAATAACAGACTTTGTTACAACTCACATCCTTAACGTTAGAGGAAGGATTCTCTTCTTTAAAAGTTTTGCGGAAATCATTCCTACAAGTTGAAAACGGCAAATGTCAGCAACAAAATACATAAGCACCAGCAAAACCAAAAACAAAACGACTATACAAACATGATCATTACATGAAAATGAAGAAGGCAGTAAGAGGACGCTTGGCCTTAGGCTTGTTAGAGGTAGAGCTCTTCTTCTTCTTCGTCTCTTCCTTAGCCTTTCTAACTCTCTTCGCCTTAGGTTCATCAGATGTTGACTTCTTCCTAAAAAAAATCCAACACAATTACAAGGAACGAACTCAATATCACAATATAGGAGTAAGAAGTAAGTAAGTCTAACGAGTGTTACAACAAGGTTTCAACAATGGAGAAAAGAGATAAAACAAGAGAGATGAATGTGAATAACAAGTTTGTTATGAAAGTGTAAAGTGTACAACAAGAGTTAGTTACTGCTATTATAAGCTTTAGCGTGGTTGCTAATGTGTACCACTAACTAACATACGCCATAAGTATATGTGATGTTATGTTACCTCTCTACAGGCTTCTTCTTAGCCTCAGCTTGTGTCTCAACAACTTGAGCTTCTGAAACCATAAAGAGATTAAAAAAAAAAACTAATTATAACACAGTAACTACTAGAATATGAACAGTCAAAAGAGAGATAGATTTTACCGAGATTGACTCGAATTTTAGCGTCGAGGCTGCAACTGTGCATACTTATAAGCGCAACAGCTACGTTCTTGTTACATCCTTCACTGCAAAAAAATCATTTAAAAAATTTCACAAAAATCATATCAGAAACCCTAGAAAAAAAGCCCCAAATCAACACAGTCAAATCTTAAAATTAGTACCATCGAGCGAAAGCGCTGCCATCTTTAGCGCGAAGTAACGTATTGGTAGTGTTGTTGTTTGTGGTGGATTCATCTTTGGTTTCAGCTTCCACTCTCTTCCTCTGTTTCGGTGCGTTTGATTTCGACGATCCACCACCACCACCACCAGCACCGGCCATCTCTTTCGGTTTCTAAGATCGGTAACGAGAGAGAATCTTCGACGGAATATCCGATGAAACGATTCGATGAGGGGAAAGTTTCGGAGGAAGCGGTGAGAAGTAGAAAGGGGAAGTGCGATTGAGAGGGAAACGAAACTCTGTTTTCCCGCGCAAAAAAAAAAAAGAAATTATTGTTTTGTGTTTCTTTTTTGACACGGATCTATGCCTGGCGAGCTAATCCAACGTTGGTTTTGCATATGTTATGAAAATGAACGGTGTAGATTCGATTCTGAGGTATGCTAATTCTTCTTCGCGGTCTCTTTTTTCTGTTTTAATTAGGGTTTTGCGGTTATAATATTTGGGCCATAACTCATAAGCCCAATCTATAGCCGAACGGTATACTATTGTATTATCTTCGAATGGTCTTCGACTTTTAACCAAATAACTAAAGATATCCATGAAAATTAACATGAAGACGAGACATACAAAATTTTTATTTTCATATAATATTATAAAAAATATTCTAGCCATTATTATTCTATGGATTACTATTTTTGTTATGGTTATACTTCAACTAGATGTATTGCCCGCACATGCGGGCATAATTTTTGTACAATTTATTATTAGCTATATTTTATTAATTCAAACCAATATAATAAGTTATGATTTATATTTTAAATTTAATTATAAATGACAACACTCACATAACAAAATATCTTTAAAAATATATTTTTACAAATGTGTTGCTTTAATTTATTTTAATTATAATTTTTTCTATCTTAATTTTTTATTTCTATAATAAAAATATATTTTTTAAGATAACAATATAATACATAAGAAATATCTTATTTTCTTAAAATGTAATTTTTAATAGAAATTTGTTTTATTTATAATAAATTGTATATGAAATTATTAAAAATATGAAAAATAATCAAAACTATCTAAATCATAGAGAAATTACAAATCAGATAATTCAATTAAATTTTCTAATAGAAAATATATGTTCAAGATAACAATCTAATACATAAGCAAAATATTTAACAAATTATATATGAAATTATTAAAATATGATAAATAAGCAAAATAGAAAACCATTAAGAAGTTGATAAATTAGCATTTCTTTCTTTATATTTAACTATTAATATTTTAACTTAATTTTAAATTTCTATGATAAAAAATAGATTTTAAAGATAACAATAAAATACATAAGAATTATCTTATTTTCTAAAAGTGTAATATTTTTAAAAGAAATTCGTTTTATTATATAATAAATTATTCATAAAATTATTAAAAATAGAACAAATAAGCAAAATTATAAAAAAAAATCATGGAGAAGTTACAAATCAATCATTAAATTCACTTGAATTTTATAATAGAAAAATATTTTTTTAAGATAACAATTTAATACAAAATAATTAACATATTTTCTAAATTATAATATTATTAATATAAATTCGTTTTTATTAAAGAATAAATTGTATATGAAATTATTTAAATAAAGTAATAAACAAATTTACCTAAAATCAAGGAGAAATTGACAACTAAGCAAATTTACCTAAAATCAAGGAGAAGTTGACAACTAAGCAAATTTACTCCTCATATAATATTAAAAATAGAACAAATAAGCAAAATTATAAAAAATCATGGAGAAGTTACAAATCAATCAGTAAATTCACTTGAATTTTATAATAGAAAAATAGATATTTTAAGATAACAATTTAATACAAAATAATTAACATATTTTCTAAAATATAATATTATTAATATAAATTCGTTTTTATTAAATAATAAATTGTATATGAAATTATTTAAATAAAGTAATAAACAAATTTACCTAAAATCAAGGAGAAATTGACAACTAAGCAAATTTACCTAAAATCAAGGAGAAGTTGACAACTAAGCAAATTTACTTCTCAAATAATAGTATAGATCTCTATAATATTATTTGAGAAGTCAGTTTCCTACGTGTCGCGCTCACGTTAACTCTCGCGATGGTTGATTACATAGATACCCTTAATGAATTATTAGATTTTAAGGTTATTATTATTTTTTTTTATTTAGTTTCCTTTTTACCTTTTTACAAATAACATATATAATAAAAAGGAAATATTTCTAAAATTTTAAAACTAATTTAAAAACGAAAATATATGTATATAATATGACTTTATTAAAAAGGAAAGTTGACAAAATAGTAATACCCCCATTAATATATATTTTAAATAACATAAAATATATTTTCAAAATAATAAAAATATATATGTTCATGACCATTCAAAAATTTATCAGTTACACTATTTTCTAANATTTTAAAACTAATTTAAAAACGAAAATATATGTATATAATATGACTTTATTAAAAAGGAAAGTTGACAAAATAGTAATACCCCCATTAATATATATTTTAAATAACATAAAATATATTTTCAAAATAATAAAAATATATATGTTCATGACCATTCAAAAATTTATCAGTTACACTATTTTCTAATATTTTTAAGAAATCATCATATAATTTGATAAATATTATGAAAATACATGTATATTTAAGCGATAAATAAAAATAATTTTATTTAAATTAACTAAAATAAAGAGTAAATAAATATTATGAAAATACATGTATATTTAAGAGATAAATAAAAATAATTTGATTTGACTCAACTCAAATAAAAAGTAATTATACTTCAGTTTTAAATTAAAAATATATTTAACTCAATATGCTCACAAAATGAATGACTCGACTAATCTAACTTATATCCAAAATTAAACATCTAACTACAATAAGAACATAAAATTTTAAATAATAATAATAATAATAATCTATTTAATTTTCTTGCGATGATTGATTACATAGATACCCTTAATGAATTATTAGATTTTAAGATTATTATTAATTTTTTATTTAGTTTCCTTTTTACCTTTTTCCAAATAACATATATAATAAAAATGAAATATTTCTAAAATTTTAAAACTAATTTAAAAACGAAAATATATGTATATAATATGACTTTATTAAAAAGGAAAGTTGACAAAATAGTAATACCCCCATTAATATATATTTTAAATAACATAAAATATATTTTCAAAATAATAAAAATATATATGTTCATGACCATTCAAAAATTTATCAGTTACACTATTTTCTAANATTTTAAAACTAATTTAAAAACGAAAATATATGTATATAATATGACTTTATTAAAAAGGAAAGTTGACAAAATAGTAATACCCCCATTAATATATATTTTAAATAACATAAAATATATTTTCAAAATAATAAAAATATATATGTTCATGACCATTCAAAAATTTATCAGTTACACTATTTTCTAATATTTTTAAGAAATTATCATATAATTTGATAAATATTATGAAAATACATGTATATTTAAGCGATAAATAAAAATAATTTTATTTAAATTAACTAAAATAAAGAGTAAATAAATATTATGAAAATACATGTATATTTAAGCGATAAATAAAAACAATTTGATTTGACTTAACTCAAATAAAAAGTAATTATACTTCAGTTTTAATTTAAAAATATATTTAACTCAATATGCTCACAAAATGAATGACTCGACTAATCTAATTTATATCCAAAATTAAACATCTAACTACAATAAAAACATAAAATTTTAAATAATAATAATAATAATCTATTTAATTTTATACATATAAATTAGAGGTTGACTCAAAGCATATTAAAGAAAAATAAAATATTAACCAATTACAATTTAACTATTTTCTAGAATTTATATATATATGCATGAGACTTCAAAATATTATCATTATATTCCTTTATTTTAAAGGCTTCTTTTCTGTAGCACCTCCAAGGTTTTATTTTAAAATTCGGATCGGGATCGGATATAACACATCGATTTCGGTTTGGATTCGGATTATACTAAAGTTACCGCATATCATTTGGGTTCGGGTTTTACTGTATCGATTTCGGATTAACTGAAGTAAAATTCAAAGAAAACAAATAAACATCAGAGACTTGTAACTTAAATTTAGAAGTAACTAGTACAAATGTTTGCAAATTGATCACAGTGACAAGTGAAATATGAAAACTCACATAATATGGAATCGTAGCAGCACAAACTTTGCTAAGTAAGATGACATGATAAGAACTAAGAAACATGTTTCTCAAACTTGGTAAAAATGTTTGCAACAACACACCAGTACCGATAATTTAAAATGAAAAGCAAACTGAGACAAAACTGAAAGTTTCAATGTCTCAAGCCGGAAAAAACAAAGCTAAAATTGTATCCCTAAAAGACCTATCATATATTTTTTTAACATAGATCGAATCCTAAAACGCTTATCAATATAGAAGACTCGAATCAATTTCTAAAAATCAAGTCATTACCTCAGATCGGGTTCTCGAAATCAAAGATGGAAGAGGAGATAGAGAGAATTGCGAGTTTGTGATTCTGAACATATCAAGAACCTTCGATTTTAATAAGGAATACCGATGGCGTTTAGGTTTTCGAAGGTAAGAAGAAGAGGAATCGCCTCTAGTCGTTATGACGAAGAATTGGAAATAACAAAACGTGTCTTAGAAATTGTCGACTTCGTGTAATACATGTATATACTTATCTACAAAATACATACACTTCGGTTATTTCGGATTCTAAATTGGGTTTCGGATTAAACTGAACCATACCCGATAACCAAAGTATCAACATATCAAAACCGATCGGGTATTTTAATGGATCTATAACTGATCGGATTCGGGTTCGGTTTTGGATCATGGATAATATGCCTAGACCTAGATAGTATATAGGAGCAGCATTATTGTTAACACGTTTTAATTTCTTAAACTAATGTTGTAAATAAAAAAAGTGTTGATTGTTTACAAAATGATATGTATGTTAAAAAATCTCATCAGAATATAATAATAATTACTTATAATGGATTCATAACAATGCAGAAAAGTAAAATGATATATACATGCAACTGATATATCTCACATGGCATTGAGGAAGATAATCAGGATATTAACAATAACTTTATACATAGCATAAACAACAGACCTAATCAGACACATGTATTCACACAAGCTAGTGAAAACAGCAAGGAAAACATGTTTTAGGTTTAAGGAGAGTCAAAGTTAAGAGAATATCTAATAGGATCATAGTTGAAACTGATATGTTTCTTTTTCTTGTCTTTCGTCTTCTTAATCGCTGCTATGATTCTCCTCCATAACATGCTTCTTATTAGCTTCTTCTTCTCCATCCCAAACTCATTCACCATTATGCATCCCTTTTTTTTTCTTCTTTGATTGTTTGGGTCGAAAGAGATATAGAACTGCAAAGTTGAAAGAATGTGAATAAAAGCAATTGTGGGTCGAAAGAGATATATGCATCCCATTTTTCACCTTTATTTTTAGTTTTTTAGTTGGTGAGAGACTCCTATAGAGACTCCCACTGCTAATGCTCTAAAGATGCACCAAGATAAGAATTGACTTTGACTTCTCACTTTTTTTGTTTATAGGTATATTTTATGATTATCCATTTATACATGTGTGGCATGCACCAATTTCCTGCTGTTGGTATTTATTTACTTACCATTTTCACGATTTTGTGATTTTTATATATTTTTAAAGTTTTTCTGATTTCTAATTTTTTTCTACCAGATTGATTTTGTTTCTAATTCTTGGTCTAATATGAAAATTTTATAAAAATGTTAATATTTGACTAAACTAAAGATCCGACTTTACGTGTGGTGTTTTTCACCCCAGCTTCTTTAATTCATAATCAATCTCCTTATTTTTTGTTGTTGTGTACCAAAGCCTCAACCATGACCAACTTCGGCAAGGTACGAAACTTTCAATTTCTACAAACATTTTCATCGCAATATTCTAGTTGATGCGAATCTTAATGCTTTTGTAAATATTTTACAATAAAAATATTATTCATTAGTTTCACGTTGAAAGTTTTAATTTATAACTAGATTTTGACCCGCGCTTAGAAAGCGCGGGTTATTTTTACAATTAAATAAATTACTTTAAATGAATGCTTATGTAAGACATTATAAAAAATTTGACATGTATCCGGACCCGTGAACCAAAACTTACTAAACTAAATACACAAAAATGAAACTAAAATTGAACTCAATTTCATAAATAACCGAAAACCAAATGGGTATCTAAAATTATAAAATAAATTTGTGTCTTTAAAAATATTATTTATATTTAATTTATGAATAAATAAATATCCTAAAAATACTATTTATAAACCAAATTACTCAAAAACTTAAATTACCCAAAAATTGAATTACTTGAATATTTTTTATTTAAAATATTAAAAATCATCCAAATTATCAGATATTTTTATCTAAACAATCCGAATTACCCAATATTTAAATTGAAAACCCTTAACTATCTNATTAATTTCTTATAATGTAAAAAAAAAGAGTTTGTTATGAGTACAATCTATATGAGATGGAAATCATATTTTACTGTGCATTAAATTATACATTTTTAGAATATTATGAGATGATTTAGAAATTACAAAATTGAAAATTCCATCATTTATTGAGATGGAAATCATATTTTAAATATTTAAATAGTTACTAAAAATATTTGCCTCTTGTTATTTTTTCCAGATATTTGTAGGTTGTATAGTTACTAAATTCAACCTTTTAATAATATTCACTTAAATTATGATTATTATCAAGTTCAACATACGGTTCCCTTTTTCAAATATTTGTAATATTCATTACCAAATTTAAATGTCTTAATTTTGATTTCAAATCTTGAGAAATATTTTAAAATCAGTTTTGGTTGTTTAAGTATTAAATGGCTGTTTTCGTAATGTATAAAATAATTTTCTTATGAACTACATATTAAAAGATTAATATAGTTGCGATATTGTTTAGAAAAAAAATATTTAATTGGAACACATTAATATTTGAATTTACTGAACTAATTATTATTTTTACTTAAAGTTTGTTGTATAACTATGAGAATATTCAGGGATTTTTTATGGCTCGATGTTTAATAGGTAAAGATTGTGTATCATTTACTCAAAAGCTAATCTGATATATATGACCATTCCAAATTCGTAATAAGTATATATGATGTTTGGTTATGTATGTATATTGATGTACAAAAGTGACTAAATTTGTGATATAAAATGTGCATTGTAATATGATATATGATATTTTTATTAACATATGTGAACTGTCATATATATATATCTGGTATATTTAGATTGGAATGGTTAAATGATATTCTATAAAACGTAAGGGAGACAATTTGACATTCTAATATTATATAGTATAAACGCACATAAGAAGTTCAGAATTTTATATTGTATAAAATGTATATATTGTAATATTTTATAGTATACAACCCATGATCCAGTTTCTATATACGTAAATTATAAGGTAATTATGAGCACTGAACGATCATTTTCATACTGTACTATAAGGTTCTACCAAATATGTGGTATAATATTAACGTGTACAAAAAGAGATTGCCTATTAAATAAAAATATTAATTAGATTATTGTAGAGAAATATATGGTAAGATATTTAGTAGGTTAAATAAAGGTAAATCAATATATTATTAGTTAAATGAAAGGGTCCAAAACAACTTGTAAAGGTAGATTTTTTTAGACTCCTTCTCTTTTAATAGTATTGATACAAAGACTAAAAATGTAAGAAAAATGAATTAATTAAAAAACAGTGTATAAATATATTAAATAATGAATTTAAAAAAATAATGTGTGCACGTATTTATTGCCAAATGATTGTGAGACTGACACGTGTCAATTATGGTGTGAGCACATTTATTACACTGTTTCTATTTTAATATATAAGGGATATAATAACATTAGTGTTGTGGATAGTTAAAAGTGTGTTAATGGAGTCGACAGTATCTCTATCATTCTTTTTTTGTAAAGTTGCACCAAAATAAGAATTGATGTTGACCTTAATTTATTCTATATATATTTTCTAAGTAACCATATCACGTTTGGAAACAAATCTTGGTATATATTTTCTTACCATATTCACAAGTTTAGATGGGATGGGATCAAATCTAGAGTGGATAGCCATAGGCTGGAGTGGATATTCACAAGGCAGCACACAGTAGTGTCTTTATATATCAGAGGTCTCTTTCGCACTTCTTCAACCACCACAAGAGAATCATGAAGATGATCAAACTCCTATCTAGTTCTCTTCACTTGTTTCTTCTGCTCTCAGTTTTCATCTCAGATGGTGTTTACACCGTGTGTTCATCAAGAAACCTGCTTCAGGCCGAAAAAGTTCCATGTCCATTGAACTTTCAGTTTATGAACTACACAATCATACTAAGCCGATGCAAAGGTCCCTCTTACCCACACCAAGAATGTTGTGCTGCCTTCAAGGAGTTTGCATGTCCGTACAAGCAATACGTTAACGACCTGAGCACCGATTGTCTGACCCTTATGCTCAGCAACATCAGACTCTATGGTAGATACCCGGTGGGACTGTTTGGCAACACCTGCCTACAAGGCAGACAACATGTCGATTGCCCATAAACCGGATGGTCCTAATGTTCTTCATATATGTTATGTTTTAAAACTTTGTTATAAATATAATAAGATTGACATGCATAAGCACATACTTGGCCACCAAACATCCTCTTCTACATTTTAAACAAAAAAAACCCTCCTCTTCTACACAGTTCCGAACACAGATACTTGTGAGCCATATAGATTCGTACAAACATTAATGAGAGAGCTATATAAAATCTTCACCGTTATTGATTTGATAAAATAGCTATATATAGTAAAAAATATTTATAGTTAGTTTTAAATATTTATCTCTATTTGACACAACATTTTTAAAAAGAATAAAATAAATACTAAACTATTTTTTTAGTTAAGAAATATGTAATAACATTAGTGCTGTGGATATTTCTCTTTCATAATAAGGAATTTATTATAATATTTTTAGTTTACTAAAGATATCCATGAAAATTAACATGAAGACGAGACATAAAAAATTAATATTATAAACAATATTCTAGCCATTATTACTCTATGGATTACTAATTTTGTTATGTGTTATACAATTCCAATTTCTCTTAATATTTAACCGACCAAGAATATTATTATGATTTGTAACTAAAAAAGATGTTGACAAAAACTTAAAAAGTCAAAGGTCAAACACACTCCGTATTAAAAACTGACAGAGACACACAGAAACAGAGATTGATGTGAGAGAAGAAAACAGGGGAGAGAGGAGAGGAGAGGAGAGGAGGAAAGTTTCCTCCTTTCTTGTTCCAATCCAACTTTTACTTCTTTTGGCTTTTTCGTTACCGCGTGATTACGAGTCTCTTCGTCCTTATCAACACTCTCATTTTCCTTCTTTTCCTTTGAAATTTCCTTACTGGGTTTTTTTTCTTTTTTTTTCTGTTTCATACGTGTGAGATTGGTTACTTAAAACGCGTTCTCATGATATCATTAGCATTAAGAAAGAGCAGAGGGAGAGTAAAGTAGACTCCTTTGGGGATGGTGATGGAGAATGGGCATGAGGAGATACTTGCTGAGAGATTTTCTCAAGTGGGTATTGAAGATTCATCACTCTTGCGAGAGAAAGACTTTAAAAATGATAACTTGTTGCAGATCATCAAAGCTGTTGAAGCTGCTGAAACCACCATCAAACAGCAGGTTTGGTCTTTTCTTTCTCTATCTATGTGTCTATATTATTTGGCAGGCCTGATTTATTAGCGTTGGGGAGAGACTAAAGCAATGTTCACGTGGTTAGGCGCCTTAGAGAGAGGCTTATTATTGTAAAAATCGGTATGAAGAAACAAGTTTTTGTGACAACCCATCCTGTGGCTCACAAGAGCTGCACCGCACCGCACCGATCCCAACCCCTCTATTATCTATTATGAGTTCTCACTAACTCCATAATTAGGTTGTTGGTGAGACTCAAACCCAGGTCCTCACCCTTTAACAGCACTCCCACATGACAAGCTGTCACTAATTATGGAGTTAGTGAGAACTCATAATGGAAGGGTTGGGAGTCGGTGTGCTGCAGCGCTTGTGAGCGCTTATGAGCCACAGGATGGGTTGTCACAGTTTTGTTAGACAATTTGGTCTAGACATTAAAAAAATAAGGCATAAGCCTCCACCTAGGCAATAATCATCTATAAAGCGCCTAAATATGACATGTCTGATTTATTAAGCGTTTGGGGGGAGATAATAAGTCTCTGGTCCCTTACCATTTGCTACTGCACGCTGATGATGGTTCAATCTAAGACAGTGTTTTCTCTCTAAGCAGGTAGATGAGAATAGCCGTTTAAAGGCTGAACTTGAGAGAAGTACTCTGGAGCTTGCTAAGTATGTAAGTATTTTGGTTTAAAGAACAAGCATTTCCGTGAGGGTCTTTTCATGCTAGTTTTGCTTTTTGTTCTGTATCTTTGCCTAGAAATCAGATGAATCCTTGTTACAAACATCTGATCTTGGAGATCACACAAATACTACTACTGTCTCTCGCTTGGTTCACCAGCCAGTTGAAAGGGAGGAGACTGTGATTAAAGCTTCAGATGCTGATTCATTAGGCATTGTGGTTGTTCATCCCCATGTGAATTCTAATGGCGAAGAAGCTAGTTTGAGTAATCGTTTTGAGAGTCCCTCTGAGGAGATTATGGTTAATGGCGTTGTCAAAGAAGCTATAAGTGGTGCTAGTCCCTCTGAGTTTCAATTTTCACCTATAGCATCATCATCTCTTGTGAGGTACTGAAAAATTAAACTACCACTTTGGAATGTACTGAATTTACTTGTTGATTCAATGTGTAATTCTCACGATAGAACGCAGTTGGAAGGAGCGAATGTCACACAATTTAATTCATCTACTCATCTTATGCCGGTTGGAGAAGTAAATGATTCAGGCAATGCGTGGAAGCAGGTATCCATCACACTTCCTACGTCTTGTTTTTTCTTGGTGTAAATGAAAAATTATTTGCCTGACTAGGTACCTATGCAGGACCTGATTCACAAGGTTCAGGAAAACGAACAAAAAATTATGCAGTTGAGGAGATATCTTACTGACTGTTCTGTTAAGGTGAGTCCTGCAGCTACTAGCTGGACATGGAAATCTTATTTCACTATTAGGCCTTTATGTTGCTTACTTTTGTAGTTCCTTGGGATTTATTTTTGGTAGAGTTTAGATTATATTGATGCATATGGTTCTTCTCTAGTTTTTTCCCTCTATAAGTGAACAGAACAGTAAATGAATAGACCTGCAATATTTTACTCTGTTTCACTGGCCAACTCCTATTCATCCTAACCATAGATAATCTTCATGCTATGAGTTTGCCAGTGAAAATCATGAGTAAATGAATTAATCAAATCTATAGTGTTTAATGCTTCCTGCCGTTGGCTCATCTCTTGCATTCTTTGTTGATACTAACATTTTAGGTGTCTTTTTAGGAAGCTCAAACTCGCAATGAAAAATATCTTCTGGAAAAGCGAATTGCCTACATGCGTCAGGTTGGTCTCTTCCTTCTACTTACCTGTTTAATTCTTCATGTACTGAATCTTTCCAATTTTGGAAATTGTCTGGGCGCTCAAGTATTTTTGATGTTGTAACACAGGTATTTGATCAACAGCAAGAAGATCATGTTGACGCCTCATCAAAAGCTCTCTCTTACAGACAAGAGATAATTGAAGAAAATATACGCCTAACATATGCCTTACAGGTACCTCAGTGTCGTCAAAACTTTGTACTACTTCATAGTGAGACTGGTATATATAACTTTTAAGTTGAAGCTAAACCTGCCTCTGCTTTTTTTATTTTATTTCAGGCTACAAAGCAAGAGAAATCTACATTTGTAACATACTTGTTGCCTCTTTTATTAGAGTATTCTCTACAACCACAGGTTTCTGATGCACAGTCTATTGTTAGCAATGTGAAGGTCAGTTCCAGTATCTAAAATGCTCTCTCTTGTTATCTTTTGTCGTTTAATCGAAATCTTAACATTTATGTTTTGTTACTCAGTTCAAAACTGTATGCTGTAACCTGTTAGTTTGAGGTGTTTCGTTGCATTAGTGAATGATATTTATAGATATGGCCATTTGTGTTCAGGTTATATTTAAACATCTACAAGAGAAGCTCCTTCTTACTGAGGTATCTGATTTTAAATTTCATTGTCTGTTTCATTTCCAGTTGCACTGACCTTTGATTGACGATTCTTTCTGATTTGTTTTTCTGCACTAGGCAAGGTTAAAGGAGTCAGAATATCAATTTGCACCTTGGCAGTCAGATGTGAACCGCTCAAATGATTCTCCTTTAGCCTCTTCGCGCGCAGCTGGTGTAGCTTTAACTCACTCTGTACGTTCATATCCCTCAGTGTTGTATCATAACATAAGCTTTGAATGGACTGAGTCTTATATTATTTCTTGTGTGTTTCACCAGACGAAGGATTCTCTATATGATCAAAGAGCTATGGAGTGGGATTCTAAGCGCTGGCAGCAAGACGAGCCAGGTAGCTCAAGTATGAGTAGTTTCCAATTTGATGATTCTAGAAGGTTTTCACCTCTAGTGAACTGGTTAGTTTTCCACTGCATAGATTGCTATCTCAAACCGTATGCAACTAGTGACATCTTGCCTCTTTGTTTGTTATTAAATCTTAACTTTTCTAAAAAAAATTAAAAGTCATTTGACTCATCTTAGCGATGACTATTGACTTCAAAAAAAAACATGCTGACAAGTGGGTTTATTTAATTTAGCAGCTAATCTTGACGCTTGAAAATTCCTTGTTATAGGCTAATTATTCTTAATATTTTTTCACGTTGATTGTTCAAAAGATTTTTTGCTATGCTTAGTTTTTATAAATTCATGTCCCCTCTGGGCGATATGATAATCTGACTTCTCAAAAGAATCAGTTTAGTCATAGGCTCAATAAGGTGTTGTTCTTCTCTCTCTGTCATTTTATGGTTGTGATCAATTTTTGTAGCTTCTTATGACTCTCCTGGTTGTATGCTTACTGAATAGTTAGATGATTAAAAGTGTGTTTTATGTGTACCAGTCAGTCTCCAGGTTTTAAGATGCCTCAGCAACAACTAGGTACTACTAGTGAAGATGAATCTCGTGGTTGGAACCAAGTAGAGGACACTCCAACTAAGCATGTTCAGTTTCTTGAGCCTCTTAGTAAGATAGTGATGGAGGATGCAGAAGGAGAGTCAGATACCAAAAATCCACCTGCGTTTGATGATCCTAGCTCCTCAACTTCTCCTTTTTTGTCCCCTGTTCAAGAAGAACCGTCTTCCTCATCCGAGGAGGGTAAGGATTTAAAGCATAATTGCATATAATATTCACTTGTCTCAATATTTTGAACTGTTGTCGACAGCTGAGGATGATGATGACCCGCTACCAGCTATAGAAGACCTCCAAATTTCAGGAGAACCTTATCCTGGACATGAGCTTCAGGCTTGTGGTTACTCTGTTAATGGAACAACAAGTTGTAATTTTGAGGTACGTAAATGTTTTTTTTCTTATTTGTTCTTGAGTTGGATCTAAATCTATCTATCTCTTCATTGATTTACAGTGGGTGTGTCATCTAGAAGATGGATCTGTGAATTACATTGATGGTACATATACATTTCTCTCCTGCTGACCATATCTTTATTTCTTTCAACTTGATATGGAAGTAAGAACTTAGTCGTTGACATAATTTAATTGCAGGAGCAAAGCAGCCAAATTATCTTGTCACTGCTGATGATGTTGATTTACATCTTGCTATTGAAGTTCAGCCTTTGGATGACAGGAACCGCAAGGTTAGACTTCATACTAAGAGCTCGTGAGAAGACAAGATTAGCTTTTAGCATGAGAACTGCTTTTGGTGTGACTTAGCCATTTGATTTACTTTCTGGTTTCAGGGGGAGCTTGTCAAAGTCTTTGCCAATGATAATCGGAAGATAGCTTGCCGTAAGTATATACATCAGTGGTTTTGAGTCATTCTTGGACATACAGATAGGTAACAGTAACCCTCTTTTGTATTTTGACAGATCCAGAGATGCAGAGCCATATAGAGAAGACTCTTCATAGTGGTCATGCTTCATACAAAGTTTCTGTTGCGGTATTAACATTTTCTATTCCAACTCATATGTTTGGGCTAGATGTATTTTTTGATTAATACTTTCATATGCTTTATGACCTTGAACAGACGGGGTTCTTAGATATATGGGAAGAAGCTATGTTATCTATTAAGAGAGAAGGTTACAGTATCAAGTGTAGTAACGATATCATGGTTGCAGAAAAGTTCTCATCTTCAACTTCTGTAAGACTTTTGCCTTATTTGTTTCTTTGATTGGTTTTCTGATTGATTTAACGAGTATTGTAATCCTTCTTATGATTCCTCTCTAGGTAACAATCCCGTTTGGGCAGCCTGAAGCATTTGTTATAACTGGTTCTAATGGTAATGAGTATACCTTACGAGCAGATCATGGATCAGCAGACCTTAGCTGGTAATTAGAACTCAACTCTTTCTTAAGTTAGTTTCAAAGGCCGGTTTGTATCAATCAGCATATGCATCTCAGTTTTGTTCCATTGGTTTGTAAGCTTGTCTAAACTTGATCAAGATCATTCAGTATATGTTTGGTCCTACTCTATTGATGAATCTCAGTAAAGTGTAGGGGAGAGAATCACACTGTGATCCAATAAATGAGACGGTCTTGTGTGTTCCTATTGTTCATTCTGTGTCTGTTTCATATCCCCATTATAAGATATTGATATTTTTGTTGTCTTTGGCAGCTCAAGAGATGCAATAGTACTCACCCTGAGATTATTTACCATGAGGGTAACTACATTTTTATCTTTAGAAGACAATGAAACTAATCAGCCACAATTGAGTAGATATAAGCATAAGGTTACTTACTTTTTTGTTTTGTTAATTGGTTGCAGGCTCTGCAGAGGAAGAAGGGAAAGAAGAAAGGGTTTTTGTTTAGCAAATGAGAGACTTTTGTATATAGATTTTACTATTTTTTTGGAGCTTATGTCAGCTGCAAATCATTTAAGATTCTTGAGCTTTAAGGCCTTGTCAAACCATTTATTCATGAGAAATGAAATAAAAACTTTGTTTCTTTGTATGTATAAGAACCTCACTAAAGTCAACACTTCATCACTGCAGATATCAATGCCTCTGCAGTTACATTACATTACATTGTATATTATTATTTATTAACCTGTTTTTGATTACACTAAACAATAAACCAGAGGGACATCTTCTAACCTTGAAATACAAAACGTGAGACTATGATTGCGTGTGTATTTGATCATTCTTTACTTTTGGAATTAATTGTGAGAATCTATAAGAGAGAAACAGTTCACCTAGTTTAATGCAAAGTGAATTGGTCACACACTGATGAGGAGAAATAGACGGAGGATCCAATGAAAAAAATCAACTTTTTAATATGTCTGACTATTTTAATATGTTAAGTAAAAGTTACTATCATGCTAATAACAGTGACCTGTGTTTTTTTTTAATCTGAAAAAAAAACCATGACCTAAAATGAACAAAAGAAAACATTAAGGTCTCAACTGTCTCAACCACAAGTACATAACTTCTTTAATTTTGCATTTATGCTACAAAAGTGTTACAAGGCAATTTAGTTGGACATAATAAATAAGAACCGAATCGGCATTGAATATTTGCTATAAAATGCATTAATGTGTACTCCCACATTACACCTAACTACCAAACAACTCATTTTTCCTAGGAATGGATAGGTAGGAATGGACTCACCTGCTGGCATTCACCATGCACGTAATCAACTCATATAACAAGGCACAAACGTCAACAAAATGGAGAGGAATGTCCTAAATTAGGTAATGTTAAAACACATTTTGTTTTAAAATAGTACAAATAGAGAATATTTATCAAAATAATATAAATTTTAATTTTAAAATGATTTTTATATAATATTTGGGTTTAAGTTTAGTGATTTAAGTTTATGATTTAGTATTTAAATGGTGGGATTAGAATAAGGATTTAAAATTTAAAGTCATTTCATAATTTTACTTTTTAATTAAAATTATTTTTTGAGATTTGTGTTATGTTTGTCATAATTTTATTTTTGTAATATCCAAATCATTTTCCCTAAAACAAAAGAAACGTTTGTATTTCACATTTGCAATAATAGATTTATAGAAAATATGAAGTGCAAAACAAACAATTACCTTAAAGTCGTGAACACTGGATTATAAATACTAATACATCGTTTTAAATACACTAATGTATAGCCATACCCTCAATACATTTTCTTAATTAAAATCATACCTTAATACATTTTTAAGAAGCTATTTTTTATTTAAAATACAAACATAAAACATCAACTATAAACTAAAAAGTCATATAATTAAATAATAGTATAATTTTTTAATTTTTATAATTTATTTTAAACTTAAATTATATGTTTCTAATGTTTTTATTCTAACTTTATAATAATAATATAATAAAAAGATTTAGAATGTTCGAGGGATCAAATCCGAGGCACCGTGAAAGAATCTATTGCTGAGTTGAGAGAAGAATATAACTTTAATAATTATTTATACAGTTAAATTAGTGAAAAAATAATATGATTTTATATATATTTATATATATATGTGTGTGATTATTAGGGAAAAAAATGTAATAATATATTGTTAAAAAATTATTTAGAGCATCTAAACGTGTTAGACCGAGCACTGCAATTAACTTAAAGTTGTGAACACTGGATAACAAATACAACAAACTAATACATCATTTTAAAGAACACTAATAGATTATAACCCATACCCTTAATACATTTTTTGATTAAAAGCATACCTTAATCCATTATTCAATCGAGCTTATCTACATCATTTGCCTGAGTAAATCGAAAAAGTGTTATGTCTCTCTCTCTCTCTCTGGCGATTTTTCTTAAAGGTCGCGACTTTCTAGTTCTCTCTCCCCGGAGAGTCTCTCTCGCCGGTCAACGGCGTCTTATGTCGGAAATAAATAACGGTTTGACGGTTATGCGGATAACCGTCGAGACCCAAATCCTATTTATACCCCGTGTTTTGTCTCAGCAATCCTATGTTGATCTAAATTCAAAGAAAAAATTTCCTCTGTTTCTCTTAATTATGGCAGAAAAGATTCACAAACAACTCCAAGAAATCTCCCTTGGAATCGAAGATGGTGTAGTTGATCTCCCATCTGATCTATGTGAAGAGGCAATTGAGGAAAATCGTTTCACATTGGTGGCTAAACCGATCAACCCACGCCGACAAAACATCAGGGCAATGTTATCGGCCCTCCCTCGCCTATGGGGTGTCGGGGACGAAGTTACCGGACGTGTTCTTCCGAACCAGAAGATTCAATTCATTTTCCAGACTGAAGATGTCATGCTCTCCATTCTTCGACGTGGTCCATGGTCTTTCAACGAATGGATGGTGGGCATTCAACGCTGGTTGCCAAACCAAATAGATGATGATCTTAACCACATCTCCTTCTGGGTTCAAATTAGGGGGATTCCTATTCAATATCTTACTAAGCGTATCGTCACTCACATAGGGCGCACTATGGGTCATTTTCTCGAAACTGATTTTCAAATCGATGGAAATCAAAATGTTGACTACGTTCGAGTTCGCCTTCTTTGGCACACATCAGTGCCACTACGCTTCCAACGTCTGTTCAATTTCGGCTCTGAAATGGCGGTCCTCAGATTTCGTTACGAAAAGTTACGTGGGTTCTGTTCTGTTTGCGGCTTAATGACTCACGCTTCTTCGGAATGCAACACAATTCAAGAGGCTGCAGAGGAACCACATGACGACGATGATGATGATGATAATAATGATGACCACCCTCCGGGCTTCTCTGAACCTCACGATGCAACAATACCTGAGATGGAGCATCAACATAATCCAGAGGAGAATCAACCTCACCATGAAGGAACACCAAGCAAGAAACGTAAAACTGGTAATGGGTCTCCAACACCAGCACCATCTATGGTATGTTCTGCGGCTTGTCAGACTTTTATAATCAATGAATATGAGGAGCATTTCTCTAAAAGACAGAGATCTCAGACTGACATTAGGGAGGCAAGACAATGGTTACAAAGACCTCAGGAACGTGGGGAGTCTTCCACACACAACGCCAACTACGGTGATCAACAACAACCACATGAAGACGGCTGGGTGGGCCAGAATCCACCAAAGGAGGAATGAATACAGCGTTTTGGAACTGCCGGGGCTTGAAGGGGTCTCTGGTAGTTCGACGCCTCAAAGGGATTAAGGCAACTTACTCCCCGGACATACTCTTTCTGGTTGAAACGAAAAACTCTGATGATAGAATCCGTGATGTTGGTGCTCAGTTGGGATATGATTTTGTAAGATGTGTATCGCCAAGGGGCATGGGTGGTGGTTTAGCTTTGTTTTGGAATAAGAACATTGCAGTTACTTTCATTTCTGTTGATGAAAGGCTGATTGATTGTAAGATAAGTAATAATGAAATGTCTTTTTATTATTCTTGTGTCTATGGGCATCCAATTCGTAGACTAAGACATATTCTGTGGGAAAGACTTGAACGAATTGCAACAACAAGAGTAGGTCCTTGGTTTCTATGTGGAGATTTTAATGAAATCTTACAACCACATGAAAAACAAGGAGGACTCACGAGAGAACCTTGGAGTTTATTAGACTTTAATAACATGGTTAAGCATTGTCGTCTTCAAGATCTTCCTTTTACTGGTAATAATATGACTTGGAGTAACAAAAGAAAGGATAATTTGATTCAAAGTTGGCTTGATAGAGGTTTTGGAAATGATGAGTGGTGTGCACAGTTCCCGGCTTCTTCTATACAGTATTTAGAGATGATTGATTCTGATCATAGGCCTGCTATAATCAAAATAAGAAATAAAACAGAATATGGTAGGAAATCATTTTGCTTTGACAGTCGTTTCACTGATAATGATGATCTGAGACGAGTTATTCAGCAGGGATGGAACACATTGGATAACGGTGAGATTTCTTTTGATACACGCATACGATCATGTCGTCAATATATATCCCAGTGGAAAAAGAATTATCAAACAAATGCTGCTCAACGAATTTCATCACTAACACAACAAATAGACTTGGGTCATAATGATGTTAATATATCTACGGAGGAGCTCAATGCATTGCGCATTCAACTTATACAGGCATATGAAGATGAAGAAACTTATTGGTATCAGAAGAGTCGAGTACAATGGTATACTAAAGGTGATCGGAATACACGATTTTACCATGCCTCGACTAAAAACAGACGGGTTAGAAATAAGATTATTGCTATACAATCCCCTGCGGGTGATCAAATCACAGGAAATCGAGAGATTGGCAATGAAGCACAACGATATTATCAAGATCTTTTTGCTTCTACCAACCCGGGTGATTTTTCAGCAATATTAGAATCGGTACCAGTGGTGGTTACACCGGAAATGAATGCTCTGTTACTTACAGAGATAACCGATGATGAAGTTAAGCAAAGTATTTTTTCTATTGGAAACCACCGTGCTCCTGGACCTGATGGATTCTCTGCGATCTTCTACAAAACATACTGGGATATTGTTGGTCCTGCTGTGGTTAAAGAAGTACGTTATTTTTTCCAAAATGGTGTTTTCTCAAGCGATATTAACAGGACAAACCTCTGCCTCATTCCCAAGGTTTTTCCCCCACAAACAATGAAAGATTTTCGACCTATTGCCTTATGTAATGTTATATATAAAGTAATATCGAAAATTCTGGTTCGTCGCCTTAAGACTATTCTACCGTATATAGTATCTGATAAACAAGCAGCTTTCATCCCAGGAAGGCATATCTTTGATAATATATTGCTTGCGAATGAGGCTTTTCACTCGTTACGGGTACGTAAACGGTGTGCTCAAAGTTACATGGCGGTTAAAACAGATATTAGTAAAGCATATGATCGAATAGAATGGAAATTCTTAGAAGAAGTCATGCGAAAAAAAGGTTTCTGCAATACATGGATAGAACTTATTATGCAATGTGTGTCTACTCCTTCCTACTCAGTTTTGATCAATGGAAGTGCTTATGGGAATTTTACAGCAACAAGAGGACTGCGTCAAGGTGACCCTCTTTCTCCATCTCTTTTCATTTTATGCTCAGATGTTCTTTCTTGCCTTCTAACAAAGGCCGAGACCACCAACGCAATTCAACCATTACGGTTGAGTATAGGAGGACCATCACTTTCCCATCTATTTTTTGCGGATGATTCACTATTCTTCATTAAAGCGGACCTTTACAATAGTCAAAATTTGACAAAAATATTCAAAGATTATGAGCTAGCTTCAGGACAACAAATTAATTACGAAAAATCGGCTATAACTTTTGGCGCACAAGTTTTTCAGCATACACGTGAAGCAATACAATCAGTAACCTCAATTACTACTATTGGTGGTGGAGGTAAATATTTGGGATTACCAGAGCAGTTTGGTCGTAATAAGAAGGAATTATTCAATTTTGTCAAAGATAATGTGTTGCGTAAAACACAAGGTTGGCAAACTAGATTTCTCACAATGGCTGGAAAAGAAATATTAATAAAGTCAGTTGCATTTGCCATGCCAGTGTTCTCAATGAATTGTTTTCAACTCCCGGTGGAACTATGTAACGAAATCGATAGTATTATCTCGTCTTTTTGGTGGGGATCTACAGGGGAACAACGAAAGATGAGCTACGTCGCTTGGAAAAAAATGACAGTTTCTAAACAAGGGGGAGGCATGGGATTTAGAGAATTACAAAAGTTCAATCAAGCACTCTTAGCAAATCAAATATGGAAGATATCTCAACGTCCTAATAGCCTAATATTCAGAGTTCTTAAACATAGATATTTTCGCAATGGTACTATTTGGAACGCTTCAAAAGGATGTCAACCTTCTTATGGATGGAGTTCGTTATTATTTGGCCGTGAGCTTATTAACAAAGGTTTACAAGTTCAAATTGGGGATGGAAAAACTACACACCTGGACGCTCACTGGTTACCAACGCACCCACCACGACCTCCAAAATTATTGTCGTATACAAATCCTTTATTAGAGGTATCGACTTTGATCGATCCGATTACAAACCAATGGGACCAACAACAGCTAGACGATAATATTGATGTAAATGACCATCGTATAATCCAGAGAATTTACTTACCAAACATCCCCCAGCAAGATAATGTTGTGTGGAGTTACACAAATGATGGGAATTATACAGTCAAATCAGGTTACCATATGATGATATCCGAGAATACTATTGACAACACACGACGCTCGCCTCTTGCTCATCACCCGGATCTGGCCAAAGGTATTTGGACTCTTGATGCACCGCCGAAATTAAAGCATTTCCTTTGGAGACTTCTATCTAATGCCTTAGGTATCAAGTCAATTCTTCGCTCTCGCAATATTAATGTCGATCCATTATGCTCGCGATGCTGTTCTGAAGAAGAGACCAAAGACCATCTCTTTTTCGGTTGTCCTTTTGCTCATATGATATGGCGTTTAACTGAACTACCTTGTACTCTCCTACAGCGAGGAGATGTTCAGTTTGAAGATAAAATAAGATATCTCCTATGTATTATGGCGGATAAAAGTATATCAAGATCAACCCGATTACTACCTATATGGTCTTTATGGCGATTATGGAAATGCAGGAACGACCTATTATACTCAGCAAAGGACAATACTATTGAAAAATGTTTTAGTCTTATCAATGCTGATATTGTAGAGTGGATTAGTATCGTCAGGCTGGACCCTATATCTTCTTCACCAACTGGGATTTCTACGCGACAAACTTCTAAATGGAAACCACCCCCGGTGGGATGGGTTAAGTGCAATTATGATGCATCACTTACACAATATTCCACCTCTGGGATGGGTTGGGTCATTCGGAATTCTCATGGTATTTTATTACACTGTGGTATGGGTAAATTTGAAGGAAGGCATACGGTGGAAGAAGCGGAGGCATCAGCCTTAATATGGTCCATGCAATGTGCTTGGTCTTTAGGTTATAGACGAGTTATTTTTGAAGGTGATAATCTCAATTTATGTCAACAATTATTGAGGAATTCACAGACCCCAATACTACGACGATTCCATATGACAATAGATACCTGGAAGCAACAATTCACGTCAACAACTTTCAACCATACGGGACGTCAAGGAAATGCCGTTGCTGATAAATTAGCTAAAACAATAATCTCATGTACTCAAGATTGGAAATTATTCCATACTTGCCCTTATTTCATCAAACAATTTGTAATTTGTGATCAATAAATATTTTCAGATGGCAAAAAAAAAAAAAAAAAAAATCGAGCTTATCTTAATAATCATAATATTTTTAATCAGAGAGTGAAGCCACACGCTCCTCAACGAACTCCTTAATCCTCCGAACTAACTCCCCAGCCTCCGGCAACTCAGGAAAGATATAAAACGCATGGAACATGTTTGGATACTCGATTAGCCTCACTCTCTTCCCGGATAGCTTCAACCACTCACAGTAACTCCTCTGCCAATCCTTTAACGGGTCAAACCCGGCCACAACCACCAACGTTTCCGGATAATCCAGACCCGAAATATCAACCAAACTCGGCCTCGCCGCCTCGTGATCCCTACTCGCTCCCTCCGGCAACACCGCACGCCAACACCAATCCGTCCTCCCCGGCGAAACCAACGGCGCTCCGGCGAGGCTCCTCTCCGCCTCCGTCCTCTCCTCCCCGCCGAAGAACGGCTGGATCGAGATAACTCCGGCGAGTCTCACGGCGGAGAAACGGTGACTCTCGCGGCAGACGCGGATCGCCACGTTGTGCGCGATGTTCCCGCCGGCGCTGTCTCCGGCGAGGAAGCACCGCGAGAGATCGGCGTTCGCCGGGAGAGTTCCTTCGCCGTCGTCGAGGAACTTCACGGCGTCGAATCCGTCGTCGTACTGCGCGGGGTGACGGTGCTCCGGCGCGAGGCGGTAGTTGACGGAGACGACGTAGGCGGGGAGGTTCGCGGCGAAGCGACGGCAGACGTTGTCGTAGGGGTGGATGTTGGGGCTGAGGAAGGCGAAGCCTCCGCCGTGGAAGAAGATCACGACGGGGATACGGTCGCCGGAGACGTGGGGGGTGTAGAGTCGGAACCAGAGGTCGCGGGAAGGGTCGATGGTGACGTCGGAGGAGGAGACGGAGTTGATCGGTTTGGGGTTGGGAGGGGCGCGGAAATCGAAGAGACGGAGGAAACGGCGGTTGATGGAGCCGTTAGGACGTTGGGCGTTATCGGTGACGGTGGAGATAACGGTGAGAGCGATTCTTGTTTTTAACGGAAGCGTTAGCTTCTTTGGTTGCTGCGACTCTGTTGCCATTTTTTTGAACGTGAAGGAGTTTAATGAAGTATGTACGTGACTTTACTTGTGTGTATATATATGCTCGAAATAAATATTTCCAGCTGTGAATTTTGTTTTTATGGTTAGAACTTGAAGAGAGAATAGCTAATGGAGATTATGGTTACGTGTGAAAGATATCATCTATGGAGTTTTTGAAAGGAAACACGTAAACAATAGAAGAAATATATATTAAACTTTTTAATCTTTTGAAATATGTTTTTGGGAATGGCTTGAGTAATCACTGTTCTCCATTGTTGTTTTGTTAAAGATATCAACAGATAAACATGGCCAGCGTGATGGAGTCTCGGAGAGCATTCAACATCTTGCAGGACAAGTAATTTCATGTCTGAAGCTGCATCAAGTAATTCAATTTCATTAAATTCTATGTCAAAAAATCATGCGGAAATCTGTAAAAAAAAATCATAATGCAGCCATGGCGCCAAACTTTTAAGCTTCAGGTCACAAATATATACATATTTTTCAACGGCCAAGAAATTTTTTTGGGCTTGGGCCTTCACATTATTGGGCCGAATTACAACTAATCGAAGTTTGAACTCAAATGAACTAAACAAACTAAACTGTGCTGCAAGGTGTTATCAGAACACTCCCGACCTTTTTCAGCACCGTCGATAACGCCGCCTGTATTGTCGTCACAGGTAAGCTCCTTTTCGAATAGTTTGATTTGGATTCTCTGTGATTTTCATTTCTATGTGATATCTATAAATAGTGTGACTTTTTTATTTTATTTCTTGTGATGTAATGTAATTAGGATTCTCAGACATGGGTTGGAAAGCTGCTGAGAAACTAATCAGACATTGGAAGATACTTCGTGGCGATAATGTGAGTACAGTACACTCTTGTCCTTCTGTTTGGTTCTCTAGTTTTGTGTCGTTTAAATTAGTGTGTTTGATATTTTTTTTAATTTTAGGTGATGATAATTCGTGGGAAAGATAAGGGTGAGACTGGAACAATTAAGCGTGTCATCAGATCCCAGAATCGTGTCATTGTTGAAGGAAAGAATCTTGTAAGAGAGATTGTCTTGAATCATCTTTTTGTGGACATGTTTTCTCTGCTCAATCTTATTCCTTGAGAGAATGAATGTCTAAGTTCAGCTTTGTTTTTGTTTTGTTTTGTGTTTTTACTGAATCAGGATCCTAGCACTAGCTTAACACTAATCATGGAGTTTATATTTGACTTCAAGCATCATTTGTTTAGTTGCAAAAATCACAAAACCTAGTGATTTAAATTGAATTTTTTTTTTGTTTTGGATGTTCCAAGCTTTGCTGCTGTGATAGTTTTTGGCTTAATCACTGAAGCCTTGTTTTCTTACAGCTTTGTATTGTTTTGTTCTGATGATTTTTTTTTCTGTATTGGCAGATCAAGAAGCATATAAAGGGAGGCCCTGATCATGAAGGTGGGATTTTCACTGTTGAGGCTCCACTTCACGCCTCAAATGTCCAAGTTGTTGACCCAGTTACTGGGTATGTATGTATGATCTCACTTTGTTCTACTCTCACCAATAACTCTCTTTTTTTTTTGCTCAGTGATAGATTTATTATATTTTCTATCTCAGGAGGCCTTGTAAGGTTGGTGTAAAGTATCTAGAGGATGGAACAAAAGTAAGAGTGGCCAGAGGCACAGGCACATCTGGTTCCATTATTCCTCGTCCAGAGATTCTGAAGATAAGGACTACACCAAGACCCACTACCGGTACATAGTAGCTCACATCTATATACATAATATGTGTTACATGTTCAAAATCTGGAGATTCTTGAGTTTAACCATATATATAACATCTCAATATGTGCATTTCAGCTCTCTATTGAATTGAAAAAAGCTTGTTATTCTTACAGAAAATTAATACTCGGCAAAAAATGTTTTGTTTCTTGATTCTTTTTGTAGCTGGACCTAAGGATACACCAATGGAGTTTGTTTGGGAACAGACATATGATGCTAAAACAGGAAAGGGCATGCCTGATCTTTGAGTCATATGATATGCTAAAACACCAATGGAGCTTGTTCCAAAAAAAATTGTTGCTGCTCCCAAAATGATTCTTCTTTTTACCATCCATTACAGTTTGATTTGAATCAAGAGCTGTGAACAGATGAGGTTTTGTTGAAGAAGCTTTGATCCTGACGAAAATAAGTTTTATTCTTTTTTAGTTGCTCTTGTGAACTGTTTCAAAGTGCCAAATAAAATCATTGGTAGAAAGATTCACACAGTTCACAAAATTCAGAATTGCCTATTAGACCTGTGGTTTTTAATCAAACCGAAGATGCTGAACCAAAATTTGGTTCATGTTCGGTTATGAACCGATCGACACATTTCAACATGTATTTGGTTATCAATCCGGTTTATCAATCAACATTTTAATCTAAATCAATTGATACCAGTATTGCAAACTAAATTAACTTAAATTATCTGAATTTAATCAAAACTACCAAATCTAACTGCACTTTATCTATTTTCAATTCAATAACAAATTTGAAAAAACTGAATTATCCTAAATAGTAAATATATCTGAACTGTAATTTTTTTTGGTTCAATTCAAATGTTTGGTTTCTGAACTGAACCGGTTAGACAATAAATTATTTGAAAAACTGAATTATCCTAAATATATTAACTGCACTTTATCTATTTTCAATTCAATAACAAATTTGAAAAACTGAATTATCCTGAATATAACTGAACTGTAATTTTTTTGGTTTAATTCAAATTTTTGGTTTCTGAATTGAACCGGTTAGGCAACAAATTATTTATTTATCTGGGGTCAAAATAATAAGTAATAAAATATCCAAGGACTTATATGTAAATATCTTCGCTTAATGATCCATGTCCGTCTGTCTTGTTAACAAAGAAAACTCTCTCAAGCTTTTCTATAAGATCTCTCATTCTCGTAACCAATCTGATTGATTTCATCTGAGATTATGGAGAGATTACAGCGAATCTTCGGCGCCGGCGGCGGATTAGGCCACGCATCTCCAGACTCTCCCACTCTCGACACCTCGGAGCAAGTTTACATCTCCTCTCTCGCCCTCCTCAAGATGCTCAAACACGGTAATAATAATAATAATCATCAAATCCCAACTCTCCAATTAGGGTTTCGTATTGGTTCTAGAAACTATAGCGTTTCTATGATTATTATCGATCTAAATCTCAATTCGTAGCTAATAGAGTTAGTTGCCACGTGGATTGCGTTAATGTCAGACTAGGGTTTCGAAGTCATTTTCCCTTAGTGTGAAGCTTCTAGGGGTGGGCGTTCGGGTACCCGTTCGGGTTCGGGTCGAGTATTTCGAGTATTTCGAGTATTTCGGGTTTTCAGTATTTCGGTATTGGGGTTTAGAACCCGTTCGAGTATTTTTACATATCGGGTCGGGTTCGAATATTTTTAGTTTGGGTTCGGTTATTTCGGGTCGGGTTCGGATATTTAGATTTTGAAAGAAATTTTCAAATTCTTTATTACATAAGTTTCATGTATTTAAAATTTAACTATTAACTTAACTGTTTTTAAAATGTTTAATAAGTTAGACGTTTAATAAGTTTAAAAATAAATTATTGAAAATAAAAATCATTATTTTGATTGTTTTTGAAGTTTGGATGCAAATTTTGTTTAAAATATGAAATAAGAAGCTTAATATGCATTTTTAATGAGTAACAAATCAATTATTTTTACTATTATATGTATATTATCTGATCTTATACTATATATAATATTGATATAAATATTTTTAATAAAATGAGACAAATAAACTAGGAATAAATAGGTATATACACATATGTTCGGTTATCTTCGGATACCCGTTCGGGTTTGGATATTACCCGTTCGGGTTCGGATATCCAAACGCTCCTAACTCAATACCCGTTCGGGTATTTTGCTACTTCGGTTCGGATATTTTGGGTCGGGTACGAGTTCGGAGTTCGGGTATTGGATAAAGTGCCCACCCCTAGAAGCTTCTATGATTATTATTGATCTGAATCTCTCAATTCGTAGCTAATAGAGTTAGTTAGTGCCACGTGGATTGCGTAGTAATTTTTTTTTTGTGATGATGAATATTCGCAGGTAGAGTTAGTGCCAAAAATTAGGGTTTCGAATTCATTTCAGCTTAGTGTGATTGCGTCTTGGTTCTAGAAACTCTAGAGTTTCTATGTTTATTATCGATCTGAATCTCTCAGTTCGTAGCTAATAGAGTTAGTTGGTGCCACGTGGATTGATTGAGGTGGTGGCTTGGAAAAATCGCAGGAAGAGCTGGAGTACCTATGGAGGTTATGGGATTGATGCTTGGGGAGTTTGTGGATGAGTACACTGTGAGAGTTGTGGATGTGTTTGCTATGCCTCAGAGTGGGACTGGAGTTAGTGTTGAAGCTGTTGATCATGTTTTCCAGACTAATATGCTTGACATGCTTAAACAGACTGGAAGGTAATAAATTAAGTCTCCTTCTCTACATCAATGTAACTTTTAAAGAGTGTATAGCAATACCTGTTTTGGATCTTTGTTCTTATTGTATTGTAATTTCAGACCTGAAATGGTGGTGGGTTGGTATCATTCACATCCTGGGTTTGGATGCTGGCTTTCTGGTGTTGATATCAATACTCAACAGGTATGTAAGTGTGTGTTTGCTCTGTTGATAATTTGGTCTATGCACTCTCTTTGTGTAGACTGTATTAATGGCTCAGTATTATTACTCTTTGCGTACTATACCTTGTTGTGATTGTGTTTCCATTGTAGAAATTGTGTATTAGGTTTGCGTTGTATGTTCATTGTTGAACATCTGTGTGCTTTCGTAGAGTTTTGAAGCTTAGCTGATACTTTGGTTTTTGCAGTCTCTTTGTGTGAACATTTGATCTTCCATACTGTATTCATGGCTCAGTGTTACTCCTTGTGTCCTATACCTTGTTGTGATTGGATTTCTACTGTGGAAACTGTGTATAAGACTTGTAAATTTATATAGTGTGGATTGGACTACGTATGTTTATTGCTGAACGTCGATGTGTGTCTACTCTGTTGATACTTGGTTTATGCAATCTCATTGTGTGAACATTTTGTCTTCCATATTGTGCTAGTGGCTCAGTTTTACTCCTTGTGCTGATTGGGTTTCCATTGTAGAAATTGTATATATAGTTTGGATTGGACTATGTATGTTCATTTGTTGAACATCTGTGTGTGTTTTGTAGAGTTTTGAAGCTTTGAACCAGCGAGCTGTAGCTGTGGTGGTTGATCCGATTCAAAGTGTGAAGGGCAAAGTGGTGATTGATGCCTTCCGCTCGATTAACCCGCAGACCATTATGCTTGGGCAAGAGCCTCGTCAGACAACGTCCAACCTTGGCCACCTGAACAAGCCATCGATCCAGGTGATGGTTTCACATTGTGAAACGTGTTTTTTCTTGAAGTTGGAATCAAAGGATGTCTCTAGTTACTTACTTTTGGATACCACTATACAGGCGTTGATTCATGGTTTGAACAGACACTATTACTCAATAGCCATCAACTACAGGAAGAACGAGCTCGAGGAGAAGATGTTACTAAACCTCCACAAGAAGAAATGGACAGACGGTCTGACTCTAAGACGCTTTGACACTCACTCCAAGACTAACGAACAGACAGTGCAGGTAAGATAAAACAGAGTGCAATCTTTATACTTGTTCAAGCATGCCACACTTTTGTTCACTGACATTATTTCTCTGGTTTTAAACAGGAAATGTTGAGCTTGGCTGCTAAATATAACAAGGCTGTACAAGAGGAAGATGAGTTGTCACCAGAGAAACTGGCGATCGTGAATGTGGGAAGACAAGACGCAAAGAAGCATCTGGAAGAACATGTTTCCAACTTGATGTCTTCCAACATTGTTCAGACACTAGGCACCATGCTTGACACTGTTGTGTTCTAGAGAGCTTATTTACGTCTCCAGCCAGTAGTACTCTGCTTCAGTCAGTTGAACTTTGTTCTTCTAAATCTCTTTGTTTTCAGCTGAATCTTCTCTTTATGTCTCATCTCCTAGCACTTGATAAGGTTGTCTTGTACTATATGACGTCGTTCTTTTCATTAAGGCCATGGATTGATTCCTATTTTATTCAGAATGAAAACTAACATTTCAGAGTGTTCCAGCAAATAGGATCAAAATGTTTGAAATATTATATCTTTCTGGTTAATGAATACAAAACTTTGCAAAGGATTAATGAACACATCATCTTCATGTTAAGAAGCAAACAGAAACCAAAAGCGTGCTCTTAAGACAAACCATATGCCATGGACTTAGCGCCTCAATCAAGTCCAGCTTTGAACATAGACCAATGACCAATCATTCAAACAGAGCAAAAGTCTTCGAGTGTAGACGTGTGTATATGCCTGGCGCTTAAAACTCGGTGTCAAAACAGGTCATGAAGACCTTTGAGACCATGGTTCTTGCGAAAGGGATGTAGCTCAAGCTATACCTGCAGTTTTAAACAACATAAGGGATTCTCTCCAAGATGAATGTGGCTAACTTAGAAACCATACTAGTAGCATTCAGTTCACCAACGCATTCCTAGTTCAGGCTATAATATATGTTTAGATGAGTAAAAACATAAATTTGCATATGACTGCATGCAGAAACCATGTAAACATAATGAAGTTATAATACAGTTCACTTACCAAATAAGACCAGAGAACTCAAGAATGATAGCCAGCAGCGTCAACAGCTTGTTGCGAACCTGTAAAGAAAGAAAAAGGTCAGATGGTAACGCATTTTCACTACCAAACTTTTTACAATGCTCAGTATATCCTAATCCCAAACTTACATAGAGAGCGCAGAACAAGGCAATGACAATGCTTGCAAGATACAAAGCAGTAGCGTAGATACGAGCTGGATCAAGCATCATCGTCACCTGCCTCTGTGGGCCTATAAGGAATGCTGTGCTGCCATACAAAAAGGACACGAAACGTAAAATACTTGTCCACACAGACTTGCGCTAACCCAAATGCAATATCACAAGCTAAACTGAAAAACCCAATACAGACCTCCCAAGTGCCATCAGATTTCCCAAAGTGAATGTGATGCCAAACTTGACCGGATTGAAGAAAACAAGCATTGACTGCATTGCCACAAAGATGAAACGATAAAAAAAAGTCATATCACCTCGTAAAGAAGCTCAAAACGGTCACATATGATTCCTATTCTATATAACAGGGATAAGATTTATACTTACCAAAAGTGTACAGGTCAACCCTGCTGACAAGCAAATTGCAAAGCCATAGAATCTCTGTTTTCCATGGGACCGAACAGAGAAAAAAACAACAACAATATATAAGCCAAAAGATAAAAAAAAAAATCCAATTCAACATATTCATGTAAATGAGAAACCTTTGCCACTTCATCAAAAATATCAAAGTGAATAAAAACTATATATCATGCAAGAATGTATATCATACTATTCATCTGCACCTCACTCAAACTTTTATCTAACAAGTAACAGTCACATTCCATGAAACTTGATCATCCTTAACTACTTCACTATTTGTAAACCATCACTTCTTCTACATCTAATACTAACATATCCTTCAACTACATCATTGAGTCAAAACACACATAGACCTCACGAGCTCACATTCCTTAATTTGACGAATATAAACCAAAATGCATATCACACTCATGATCGAAGAGAACAAAACAGAAAACTAGGCATGTTTAGGAACCTGTTTGGTAGTTAAGGCACAATCACGATTAAGATCATCCATGAAAGAGAGAGAGCTTTCTTCCTCGGAAGCTCGTTGCTCCTCTTCAATCTCCATACCAACCATCATCTTCATCTTCTCAAAGGCGTGATTCATCTTATCCATGATCTTCTGTGGTAGCCTAAGCTCTTTTTCGCTAGCTGATGTGTTCAGATCTCGCGCTTCTTCCTCTCAAATTGTAAACGACAGAACACAAGTATGGTCGGATCTCTGCATAATCACGCCATGTTTTGAAGTGAAGAAAGAAGCTTTTCTTCGTCGTCTGTAGGAGTAAAAAAGAAAGGCTTTGTCATTGGGCTTTTTACTCAAAAATGTTAATGGGCTTACTTTGGGCCTATTCAGGCGAAGTAAGTACAAAGGGTTTGATTCGAGATTTCATAAGAATTGGCTTAGTGAAATCCCCAATCCATATGCTCCCATTTTTAATAAGATTCCAGCGAGAAGCATACATGTACTGTAATTTGCCTCACCGTGGGTGTCAGTTAACCAAATAGATATATCCATTTTATGTCAAAACGGACCTTTTTTTTTTACTAGCTCCTTGGAAGTGTCTTTTCCTTTATTTCCTTTAGTAAGATTATCTTTGTCTTTGTTTATGCCTCGGGTTGGAACAAATTACTATAATTCGTGTAAGATACAGGAGCGAAACAATCAACCTATTGATATTGGAAGACCCAAAAAATTCTCATTTTTACCACTTTAGCTGCGGCTTAAATTCGAAACTGCCAGTTATCCAATAAAAACCTAAAATTCCGATTTATTTCTGTCTTTTAAATGCAAATTTATTAATCTAATCACACTAAATGAGTTAACCTGGTGCCCACTAACCTTCTTCCTCCACAATTTGCTTCTCCCAGTGGGGAAGCTATGTGGTGGAGAGGGGAGCAGTTGACCCATGTGATGTTCTATAAAAAGTGAATTTCACAAATATATGTTAGGTAATTGTTAGAATATTTGGTTAAAAATCTTTAGTTGACCTCCATAACTAGTTTCAGGTATTCAAGTTCAGGTTTCGTTATGGCCCATTTAGTTTAGATTTATCGGATAAATGATTCCAATACCCAATAATTATTTATGAGATTTTAGTTTGGTTTTAGTTCGGGTTTCATCGGTTCCCAATTTCTATAATATGTGAATCAAATATATATATATATATATATATATATACAAAATGTATTACTTAAAATGTTAATCAAAGTGGTCTAATGGTTATACACTTGTCCGTTCGTCATTCCAACCAGATTCAAGGCACTAAAATGTCAATGTTATAAGTATTTTAATATAGAAATACTACATATATATTTATAATATAAGAGAGTACATAAAAGTTAAAGTGGTCTAGTGATAATATTTTTCTCATTCTTTTTATATTTTCTTAACAATATTACATAACTGATTTAGTAAATGACTTCTATAAAATGTGATGCTAGCTCCGCCACTGGCTTCTTCTCCAGAGTTTAAGCTTGTGATTCTCCGACGTTTACTTTACAAATCGTTCGAGTTGATCGCTCACTCTCTGTGCAATTATTGCTCGTTTTCGCTTTTTTTATCAGGAAATTTCACTAATGTCCACGATTCTGAAGGTTTTTCTTCTCTGAGTTTTAACAATTTTGCATAGAGTGTGTAACGAAGTCGTCTTCATGTTGTTTGGTTTGTTGTGATTCTACTTTGGATTCAGATCTAGCAAAATACTCTCTAATGGATATTTTTGTGTGTTTGAGATGTCATATTTTTGATATACTTATACCAAAGGTGGGTTTATCCTGTGGACATGACTCGTGTTAACGAGTTTTTTGGAGGTGAAGATGAGACCGCAGAGAAGAAGTTGATCACTGAGAAAGAAGAAGAAGACAACAAGAAAACAAATTAAGTTTCTCTCTTCCTCCTTTATCTTTTTTACCACTTTTTAAACTGATTTTGTAACACTTTTAAGTTATAGTTTCTTAATTTATTTTTGTTTTCACTTGGAAATATTTTGTTAAAATTTATTAAAATCAACTTTTAAGACACATCAACTTTTCATTGTTTTGTTTGAAGTTATTAATGCCAACTTTTACTCAACTCAGAAACTTCTGTAAATTGAAAAGTTTGGGCCATTCATTGACTCATCAGGAACAGGATTTCCAATTTGCAAAGTTGAGTGTGTTCCTCATTGTTCTCCTGCCAATCCCTCCGCCATTACCATTTCCTTTCCTCATCATTGCCACAAACTCTCCATAATCTATTTGTCCATCCTACAAAAACCCAAAACTCCATAAGCATCTTCATAATGAAAAAGCAGTAAAGATCTTTGTGTACTACTTACTACTCACATTGTTTTGATCAATGTCTTTGATCATTTCATCAAGATGTGAATCATTTATACCAAACTCCTTCAAAGCCTGTTGAAGCTCATCAATAGTGATGTAACCACTTGCATCTTTGTCAAAGAAAGAGAAAGCAGCCACTAGATTCTCCTCTCTCTCCAGCTTGTTCAAATGGATTGTTGCAGCTAAAAACTCTCCATAGTCTATTGATCCATTTTCATCAACATCAGCCTAATACACACACACACACACAATGAGAAGATGATAGATAGTGAAAGTTAATAATAAGAAGAGAGTTGTTTGGTTACTGAGCGCAAGAGTTCTCGGATCTCTGATTCCATAAGGTCTGCACCAACGAGCTTCACAGTGTCTTTTAACTCCTCAAATGTGATGGTGCCACTGTTATCTGTGTCTATCATTCTGAACAGCTCTGTGAGCCCACCTATCTCTTCCTCAGACAGTCTCTCTGCAATGACTCTTAAAGCCATCTTCTTGAGTTTGTTCATTGCAGAGAAGTTTTTCAAGCGGGACAATACTGCACAGTCCAAAGGTCTATCTGGAGCAACCTTATCATCCACAATCCACGGGTGACCTTCACAAAAATAAAAAGAAAGCATCAATCAATCACCATTGTGTGCTAAAAAAGACTCAGAAGATGACAACTTACACAACACTTGATGAGCAGTTAGCCTTTTCTTTGGATCCTTCTCAAGCATTTTCATTATAAGATCCTTGGCACTCTCTGAGATGCTAGGCCAGGGACTGGTCTCAAAGTCCATTTTCCCCTGTAGAATCTTTCTGAAGATGCCAAACTCACTTTCTGGAGACAAAACATGAAACATTAGAGAGTAAGCACTTGATGGAAACTCTATGAAGAGAAAGAAAGACACAAAGGCACTTCAAAATTCTAACCGTCCCAGAAAGGAGGGAAACCACTTAGGAGAATGTAGAGGATAACTCCAGCGCTCCATACATCACACTCACGGCTGTAATGCTTATGTAAAACCTCAGGTGCCACATAGTATGCACTCCCAACAAGTTCTGAAAACATTGTTCCTGAAAGATAGAAAAAAATACAATGATTTGTGTGCCACAAACCCATACCTCCATATCAAATAAACCAAATCATTTTCAACACACACAAACACAGTCACAGCCTATGAGAGATGATATCTTAAGCAAAGGTTCAATGTGCTTTCTCAAACAATACTAATTGCTTAAAACCGCATTTATCATATTCAACAACACTTAAACTCATCCCAGATGCGCGCCTAAACCGATTTTTAAAACAATTGTTGTAAACGCCTAAACCGATTTTTTAAAACAATTGTTGTAAACGCCTAAACCGATTTTTAAAACTTTTGTTGTAACACTCTTAAAACATCCCATTTGATTTTGTTTTTGAATTATACGGAGTTATCCTGGCCCATCTGATCATTTTAGAGAACAAGAAGCTGAAAACAGAATCACTAAGAGTCTTATGCTTCTTTTATAACAAGCTGCAGATTATTTAACTGTTAGTGACAAACTAAATCACCAAGTAACTAACCAGATACTCATAACATCATTTTAACAAAGAATAATTTTTCATAAATATAGTGACAACAAGACCAAACCTGGTTTGCAGAAAACAGAGAGGCCAAAGTCAGTAGACTTAAGAGAAGCATCTTCATCACAAGAAGCAAACAAAAAATTCTCAGGCTTAAGATCTCTATGCATAACACCATGAGAGTGACAAGCCTCAACAACACCAACAATAGTCTTTATAAGCTTGGCTGCTTCTCTCTCACTGTAATGACCTCTCTTCACAATCCTATCAAACAGCTCACCACCTTCACATAGCTCCATCACAATATGGACACTGTTGGAATCCTCGTAGGCGCCTTCTATACGGACAACGCTGGGGAACTCAGACAAGTGATGCATTATCTGAATCTCCCTCAAAACGTCGTCGTAGTCTTCTTGGCAGAGGAGTTTCCTTTTTGGTATGGATTTGCAGGCAAGTTTTTGTCCTGTCTTTTTGTTGGTGCAGAGGAAAGTGGTTCCGAACTGTCCTTGTCCGAGGACTTTGCCAAGAAAGTAATCGTCTTCCACGTTCTTGGTTTTGTAAGGGAGAACCCATCTGGTTCTTGATTTGTTAGCCATGGTTTTTGAGAGTTTTTCTTCTTTTTGTTTAAAGCAGAGGAAGAAGTAAGGAAACTCTTCTCTACTTTTTGGAGAATGATTGATTAGTGTTACTGAAAATATCTCAATGCATTTTTTTCTCTTTTTATTACTAAAATGATAAAATAAAGAAGGAATGTAAATAATAATAGAAAACAAAATATTAAATGATGATTTCTCAGATAAAAGATAAAACTAAATGAATTAAGAGATTCTTGGGGACAAGTGTTTGTATTATTTTATCAAAAGTGATGTTCTTAGCTTTTCTATTAGAGTATTTATTTATTTTTCTTTTCATATAAAATGAAAAATGGGAAGAAAATAAATTACATGAGTTGTTTTTTTTAAATGTTGTGAAGACAACATTTTAGTTGAAAATATAATTAATTAATTTTTAGCTACACCAATATTTATGAATTAGTTTATTATTTTATTGACTTTCTTTTTGTGCGCAACTAATATTTTATTGACTATAAGAAAGTTTAAGTATAAAATTTCCCACTTTGTCAGGATAGGTATCTAGGTGCTCACTAGGACATTGAATGCAAAACGTGTTCAGAGGTTTTCATTAAATACTATTCTTTGTTTTTACTTTTTTTTACCCAAACCTGATTTATCTAAAAGACTAAAAGTAAAATATTAGTATGTTTTTAACACGTTGTGTATTTTCTGCAAAATATCAAGGGCTCCAATCATTTATTCACGTTTTATAAACCCCCAAAAAGAATTCGAGGATAGAAGAGAAAGAAAAAGATTTGAAACTCACTAATCCGTCCATATTCATTCTCTTTTCTATGCCAACTAGAAAAGATATTAAAGCAAATGTACTTAAAACTGTAGCTGAACTTGTGGTCGTGAAGATGATGAAGGAAAACATTTGTATGGTTTTCACGATAGAGTTTGTAGAATTTAAGACACCATGACAATAATTGATTTGAATGTACACAACAACTTGCTCAACATTAAATCATTGCCAAAAATAACATATGAGGACAACAAACGAGGCTGTGGTATGGATGATAGACTGATAGTGACAACCACTTTGGTTTCTTTGATCATATTGTTTACTTACTTCATTCTCATTCCTTGTTCATGCCTGCCTATTCAAGATTAAAGAAAGTAAATATGTGAACTGATACTAAGCGGTGTATTATCTTCATAGTTTATAGTTAGATTAATTAGCAAATAATAATCAATAGTCAGATAGCAAAGATGATTACTCAAAAACTTGGGTTGTTGAATAAGGGAGTCATTAGTCAGAGAGAATATACAGCGAAACAACTACTGTTTAAAGCGTCTCTCTACCTTCAAATATCACTTTTCATGTAGAGATGATCAACTTCTACCTCTTCCTAAATAAACTTTCCAGATGCCTATTTGATCTCTACTCTCTTTGTTTTCCTTTTGTTTTTAAAAGCAGAAACCCTGTACAAGTCTCCAAGGGAATCTATGTAAGTGAATCCATCATTCATGTGACTCTATCTCTGCAGAGCACGGACAGCGTCTGACATTTCCATTAGCTGCTGCTCTGCTTTGGCTTTCCAATTCACCAACTCTTTCAATGTTTCCTGAACACACATCATGTCAAGCATTGGTAAATTTGCATGTAAACTAATCCCTGATGCTTATCAAAAGATGCAATGTGCAATATCTAGAAGATTTTTAGCTTCCTTACCTGAGAAACAATATTTGGGTCGTCAATATCTGGTAATGGACCTGGAGGCATCTCAGCTTTGTCCTGATTGGAGCTTCTAGAATCAGCTCTTGTCATGCAGCTAAAATAGAGAAGCCAAAAAATATTAGACAATCATAATAAAGCCAACTCTTGGAACCTAGAAACCAAGTAACAGATCTAACCTCTCTGTCCTTTGCATCTCGGAATTGAGCACTGACTGTTCCTCAAACCACATATGTTCCTGGAAAGAGCTTTTGCGAGCATTTGGTGGAAACGAGTAGGTATCAGGCCTAACAGCCTCTGGCAGAACATCGATAAGGTCAGCATCAACATCCCATGGTTCGAAACCATTCACAGTAAAGTCATCCAAGTTAGCATTATGCAATATATGTTCCCAGCTTTGAGGAGCTTGATTGAAGGAATTGGTCCCGTTCGCATGCACATTGTTTGAAATTCCCACCAGCTTCTGTTCTACTTTATCTTTCCACGAAACTAGTTCCTTAACCATGCCCTGCAACAAAAGCTTTACTAGGTTAGAACATCTTATACAAGAAGCTTCAAAGTTTCAAACAAATATCTTATACTTGTTATTTTGGTCTAGACCTGTGTTGATGTCAACGACTTTGAGATCTCTGCAATTTGCTTATCAGTCTTTACCCTCCAACTCACAAACTCCTTAACTAGTTTCTGGAGAGAAATGTAAACAGAAAAGGTTTGAGTCTCTAATCATATGCTCATCTTCACACATTCCATGAAGTAACTAAAAAAATGATCTCCACATGTCACCTCGTTTGCATCAGCCTGATCTGGTAACTTCGGCTTGGATACAAGTTTTTTGATATCACTGCATATCGCAAAGAAAAAACGAGATTACAAAGTGCACTTTGACTTCAAAACAAAAATTGAAAAAAGCTTAGAATAATGCAAGCACATTACCTCTTGAGTTGATCAATCTCTTCCCTAAGCTTTGAGGAGACAACAGATGATTCATGTGAATGTGATGAACTCTGAATCTTCCATTGAGCAAGGGGAATCAAATCCGGATCAGTAATCCCACATTCACGTTTAATCAAAGCCAATTCAGACACAAGTTCTTTAATCTCACTGCATAATTTCAACCACATCTCAACTTCAAACACAAAAACAAAACACACAAACCTTAAAATACCACAACCATATTATTATTACCTCTTCATCCTATCCATCTCTTCCTTAAGCTCCAAAGAAGACCGTTCATCATCAACCCCAGACTCAATTTTAATAATATTACTACCACTCTGAAGCTTCCACCAAGAAGGTGGAACATAACTAGGATCAGAAACCCCAGATTCACGTTTAATCTTAACCAAATCAGCACTCTCAAGCCAATACTGCATCGTCCCTTCAGTATCATGACACCTCCTAAACCGATCAGCACCACCAGGCGTCACATTCCCATCCATATGCTTCAACAAATGATCCAACAGCCCAGTATCACCAATCTCCCCACGTGCCGTAGCTTTTAACTCGGCACGTGTAACAGGCGCATCAAAACAAGCTCCTTTCTTCTTCAACACATCCACAATCACTTTCTCCGCAAAATCAATCCTTTATACAAAAAAACAAAAACCTCAAGACTTTATACAAAGATCGTTATTAAAAGGTTTGGTCTTTCAACTACCTTTCAGAGCTCCAACGAGTCTTCAACTCTCTCTGGCTACTACTCTGTTTCTCTTCACTCTTAACTACAAATCTTCTAGACTTTTGCCCTAACTCAGAGAGACGTTTTCTTTTCAAAGTTCTCCTCCTTGTAGTATAAGTCAAGAGAAAACCTTTATTAGATTCTTTTTCTTTTTCTTCTTCTTCCTTCTCTAACTTAACTTTAACCAAACCTTTCCCGTTATCTTCTTCTTTCTTCTCTAACTTAACTCTAACCAATGCTGACGTGGACGAAGAAACGTCCATTGTCGAACGTTTCAGCCTTATCGGACGTATCAACTTATCAGACATCTCGAGATTACTGCAGAGATGATGATAAAGAGTCAAGCTTTGATACCTAAATGTGTGTAAAATTGAAAAAACCCAAAACCTAGAAATGAACAGAGCAAAACCCAAACAGAGTATAAAGCTATTAATCTCATAAAAAGCATTGAAATTGATGACGTGGAAAACCTAAAACGCATCAGAGAACCTTGGATCAGATCAGAGCAGCGACAGCGAAAAGAGTCAAGCTTTGATAGCTAAATGTGAGTAAATTGAAAAAACCCTAAAACCTAGAAATGAACAGAGCAAAACCCAAACAGAGTAAACAGAGTATAAAGCTATTAATCTCATTAAAAGCATTAAAATTGATGACGTGGAAAAGCTAAAATGCATCAGAGAGCCTTGGATCAGAGCAGCGACAACGAAAAGAGAGTCAAGCTTTGAACAAACAAACCCTAACGGACAAAATGCATAAGCTTAGGGTTTCGTTTTCTCGGCGTAAACCCTTTATCTAATCAAAGCATTGAGATTCAAACGGCGTAGAAGAAATCGCGATCTGGAATTTTGATGATAACAGAGGAAAAGTTATGATTTTGAGATTAGGGCAAAACCTTTAGGACCGATGTGGAGATGAAGGAGACAATGAGACCAGACAGAAGCAGAGGAAATGGAAAAAATGGTCGGAGCAGCGACGAGGGAGAGAGCTCTACAGCCGCCAAAAAAAACAAAAAAAATCCCTAAAAATCGTCTGTTCCTTCTTCTTCACCCTTTTTCATTTTTTTTTTGTTTGCCGTTATTTTGGTAAATAAAAATATTTAAAAATTGATTTACCACTACAAGAGTAAGAACCAATGATATGTAACCGCGTGGTATGGATGTGATGGATTTTTTTGTTTTGTCGTCTTTTGTTATTTTGGACCAATAGGTGTTGTTATGTATATACCAAGAATGTGGAAAAAAATTGAAATTGTGAAACTTGTTTCATATTCTCATTAGAAAAAATGTACAGAAAACTAGAACCAAGATATTTTACTTCAGACATAGTTTTTTTTTTTTTTTTTTTTTTTTTTTTTTTTT